TGAAAACCGGTCTTGTGCACGAGTGGATGGCACCTGCGCCAGGTACAACCCTGGGCTAGTGCCCGTAAACACAAATCCCGTTTTTTCAGCCTTCACATATCGAGTTGCCCGCATCTTACAGTGGGTTCGATTCTACGGCTCAGATGTTGTCTTTGTAGACCGATGCTGCAGGAGTAGGCCAGAGAAAGGGGTCCTGCAAATGACCCATCCCTTTCGAGACCTCCCGAGCCTGCTGCTGAGGCTTGGTGCCATCCCCAAGCCTCTTGATGGTGCTGATTTTCTGTAGAGTGGGAGGAATGGCCACAGGGCGATGAAGCTGCTTTGAAGCTTCCAGACGATCCCAATGCAAGATTCTTTCAGCTGGGTGTTTCGGAGGAGAGTGGAACAGGAGTGGAGAGAGAGCAGAGGGCAACAGAACAAGCATCAAAGTCTGGGAGGAAGCACACGAGGCGGAAGGTGCGAGGAGCCAAGGCACCAGGCCAAGCGAGTGACGGCGGTGGGGGTCATACAGACAGAGGGCTTGGCGGAGTGACGGAGCAATCGGGCATTACACATCCATTCAGCATGCCTGTTATACGGCCGCCTCCGAGAAGGAAGCTTCCCATCGTGCGCTGCGTGGCGGATGCAGAATCTCTAGTGGAGGGTGTCAGCCAGGTTGCGAGTCCACCTGCCTGTACCCACTGCGTGCAGTGCTTCCGCGACTACTACCTCCTCATCCCATCCATCGCCCTCATTGCCAAGTACGCCTATCGCCCCCTCTACGTCCTCTTCAACCGCTTCTTATCCGTCTTCCCGCCGCACTCCTACGGGTTCCGCACGCTCGTGAAGGACATGGGGTTGCCGCCGTTCCCCTCGGGCCCAGCTTCGCCTATCAACCTTGCGATTCTGCGCGGTGAGGTAGAGAAGGAGCGCGTTGCCTTTCTGCTGATCGTGGCGCTCAAGTGGCCGGCCTCCATTCTTGACTTGGAACAGTTTGAAGGGAAAGAGATGTTGGAGGGGGACGGGATTCGAGTCAAGAAGAAGGCTGCGACGGGGCGGAAGAAAGGGAAGGCTCGGAGAGGGATGGGAAACGGAGGGGAGGAGGAGGAAGAGGAGGACGATGGAGAGGTGTGGGAGGAGTTGGAGTCGTGGTGCTTCACAGCGCAGAGTGCTTGGCCATCCAGCCTGCGTGTCTTGAGGGATGTCGATGTTGAATCGGAGGGTTCAGGTCTGAGTGATGTGTGCATGGGCAGTGAGGGGCAGCAGGAGAGGAGGGTGGACATGGAGACGAGGATTGCTGAGATGGTCAAAACAGGTGCGGAGAAGATGCGCAGGAAGAGGGTGCAGCTCCGCTGGGGTGGTGCTGTGGCGAGCAGCAGCACTGGCAGGTGCAATGAGGGAAAGGGCAAGAAGGCTGAGCTGCCACCTTACTTAAAGCCGTGGCCCGGAGGGGTCAATCTGCTGGCATGTCTGCGAGAGATGCTGCTGGGGGAGCCGTGCTACCGCCCTGCCTCCCCTGCTGCCCGTCCGTCCCTACCCACCCACCTGTGTGCACCCTTGCTACCACGTCAACCTATGATGCTTCTTCCCCACATTTCACCCCTACCACTGGTGCTGCAACAGGCACAGCAGCTGCACCCGTTGCAGATGCGGAGGCCTCTGCTCCCGATGCTTGCAGGGAGAGGAGGTGCGGTGCTGCAGGGTGTGGGAGGATGGAGGGTGGTGGTGTGAAGCTGAGGAGCTGCGGTGGGTGTGGCAAGGTGGCGTATTGCAGCAGAGAGTGCCAAAAGGCGCACTGGCCCTCCCACAAGCTCACATGCCCCGGCAGGACAAGTGGCAAGGAGGGTGTCAGCCGCAGTGGCAAGGTGAGTGGAAAAGAAGATGAGTGAGCTCGCAAAGAAAGGGCAGCTGTGGTGGGGTATGGCAGGGGGATTTGCTGAGTTGCTGAGGCACGGGAAATTGTTGATGCAAGGGGAATTGCTGAGAGGTGGGCTTAGGCATGGGCTGAGTTGAATCGCAGAAGCATGGGGGAATTGCTGATGCATGGGCAGCTGTAGTGGGGTATGGCAGGGGGGATTTCTGAGTTGCTGAGGCATGGGAAATTGTTGATGAATTGGGAACTGCTGGGGCATTGGGAACTGCTGGGGCATTGGGAACTGCTGGGCAGTGGCAAGGTGAGTGGCAAGGTGAGTGGAATGGTGAGTGGAACGGTCAGTGGAACGGTGTAGACAAGCCTAACATTGACATGGAACGGTGAGTGACACAAGCACGTAAGGACAGCAGCTGAGCTGAAAGAGTGGTGCACAGTATGGTAAGTAGGGGTGCAGGTAAGGCTATGGCAGATGCACCCTTTCGTTTCCCATGCTGTGAAAGGAAGGCTCATTTCATGGCTCATGTGCTTCGCGTCTGCCACGTGCATTGCTGGGGTGGGGAGGGACAATGACTGTACGTGTTTTGGCTTCCATCTGATTCAACATGCAATATGCATTTAAATTCGTTTTCCTCCGTCTCCCCACGTTGTTCACCTGTTTTCTTGAAACTCTCAGGTTCGATGAGATTCCATAGCTCACATCCATGTCCCTTGAGAGAATATTTCCAGATTCTCCATGGCAAGTGCTCGTCGTGCTCTCTGTCTCACAGCACGCTCAAAGCAGCACGCGCACAGATCCTCATCCCACCCGCTCGTGACGTCCAAGTAATGAACCATGTCCGCATGAGACAGCACCTGGCGCGGCTTCGGACTGTCCTCCGCCCTTGCTTCCTCTGCTGCTTCTTCGTTGCCTCATCCGGCTGACCCAGTGCACCCTGATCGATCTGGACTGCAGAACATAGTTCCCTCTGCAGCATCTTAAGAGTTTCAAGGTTCTCTCTTCCCATTTCTCAGCGTATCGTAACAGGCCTGTCATTCCACCAGCACACAACTCTTCCTACGCCCTTCTTAATTGGTTATTTCGAGGACGCCTTGTACCCGCCCTAAGCTTGGCTTGCTTGCTCAATGGTCAAGTCAGGAGGAAGGAAAACTTGCAGCCCAACAGCCATGAAACGAACCTACTGCTTCCGAAACTCAAAACTTTCTCCACAGATTTTATCCTATCCTGTCCTCCCTCCTGCTGACACGTCGCGTATGGCAGGCAGGTGGGACTGACACAGTCGGTTGGAAACAGAAAAGAGAGGCTTTGTGGGGAGCAACAGTAAGAGACGGCCGCTTGCGCTGCAGTCGGCTTACTCCCGAAGCTATTGCTACTCGAACGATCGCCGATCCGTGACTCACAACTGCTATTCTCACAATTCGTCAGACTGGCTGGGATTCTTATCGAATGCTGCAGGATTCTGATCGAATTTGCTTATTACCAGTCGAGGCCAGCCACTGATATCATATCCATCGGATTTGTCGAAACAGAAAGGAAGTAACCGTGCTATTTCAGCTGAATGACTTAAGTGCAACGAAACGAGACTAAGTGATTGCCGAGAAAGCTGATGATGCTATGAGATCGATGGGATGTCGTTACTAGGCAACGCTTTCCCACCCACGCGATGCTTCCAGATTCATGCGACGCTGTGCGACGAGTTTCCATTGCCAGAACCACGCGGGGCTTCTTCAATTTGTGACCGTCGTTCTGAGCTAACATAAAGCCATCCAATCACGTTGAGTCTCATGGGGTGGATAATTGCTTGACGATTCACAGGGCCGTCGATGGGAGATCAAGTCCAATCTCACATGTGACTGGAAAAGCACGATCGGACCGTCCGTTTCCTCACAACTCTAATTGGGTGTAGAATAAGGGCGACATCAGGTTGTACAACTTTTTGTACGCCCACTACGGTTAACTTTGTTTCAACACGGTGCAGAGCGGTAAACGTCGAGAACCGCTTCTCACCGTGCTTGACCGTCCTGAACCACGATATAAGAACTGTAAACGCGTGAGATATGTATAACCTGGCGTCGCCCTAATCCTCGACAAGGTGTCAGCTGCTCTACTTGTCATCTCGAGACGACCTAGATTGTTGCGGTGGGACCAGCTTCGATGTTGGGATGGCGGAAACATGAGTGCCTGCTGAAAGAGTCAATCGGATGGGTTGAGAGCGCTTGTGCGATGTCATAAATCCAGAACGCCTAGTTCCCGTTGTCCCGTTCCACCCAATCGTTCAAACGCTTGCATTTCCGCCGAATTCGATTACGATGGAAACTCGCGTGGACCACTGGAAATCTGGCTGTTAACGAAGATATTCGACGACACTCGCGAGGAAGGGTTACTGGCCTACTTCAAATTTCGGATTTCAAAATCGATACGCCCTGTTTTCAATCTTGCGCCATACGACACAAAGTTGAGCGAGCAGTCATGACGTGATTTTAGGACGCGGCACATGTTTTCATTTTGCCAGGATCGAGGGAGAATCGATGTCTGTACACCGGTTCTCCCGCATCGATGGGCACACCGATGTGCACACACTGCATATTTGCAGTGTGGTTAACACGCCGAGCCTTGGGTGCCAGGATTGAAATTGCTGGTTCGGGCAGGTAGGTTTCGCGGCGGAATACACCAACGTTTTTTGTCGTTAACCATTCAGAGCAAGGAACAACCTGTCGTTATCCAATCATTATTTGTATGCGACCGTAGACGACGCCGATCGATCGCGTCTGTCACCTGTGGCGCGATGTGCTCTCCCGCCATCCCAAATGCACGATCGATGTGTGCACCATGGCACATCGATCGTGCGAGCTGCAGGTGCCACCATTTTGGGTACTCTTTTACTGTATATTCTCGAGATTCAGCGAAAAAAGGATACCAGGCATTAGCGAAATCGTTGAATCACTTTGTACAAGCGGCACATCGATCCCCTCCCACGATCGATCCTGGCAAAATAATAACAGGTGCCGCGTCCTTAGGGTTCCGAAGGATGCAGGGAGAATCTGACACTTGCATGGGCCGATTGATTTAGGTTAGAAGGCTCAAGGACTATGAGGTTGCTCAATACACGTACATTATCCATGCAAGACAATCATAATAACTTATTAGTTTCCCACGTCTATAGCAACAATGCTATTTGCGTGAGGAAGTGTTTCTCGTCAATCTCATCTAATCATCAATCGCGGCAAGGCTGACAACCATAGCGTGCCACGTTAGCCCCCGCTGCTGCTAAGCTCGCGCGTCTCCTCGTAATAACGCAACCACTGGCGCTCGTGACCGTTGAGAAAACGCTAAATCAACTCCAGTTCGCACATCTTCTTTTAGTGACACAATCAGCGCCCGTTTCAGTAACACCTCGTTATAGCACGCCCCCTTTCTGCTACTGCGACGGAACCTGCAGCCATGGGTGCTGGAGCCAGTGCTCTGTCTGCTGCTGCTACTCTCCCCGTCGACTACTCCATCTGGGATAATCATATGAGCCATAGCAGCGACGAGGAGGAGGCAGAGAGCAGCAGTGACGAGGAGGAGAGCGAGACTGGGAGTGGCGAGGGGGAGAGAGAGAGTGACAGCGATGAGGAGGAGAGGGAGGGTAGCAGTGAGGAAGAGGAGGAGGAGGAGGAGGAAGAGCGAGAGCAGCAGTGAGGAAGAGGAGGTTGCCGGAGTGAGCTCATTTAGTTCTTTTTGGTCCAACTCTGAGCCTCCCTGCGCCTGCTGCTTCAACCGTGTGCTTGGCACCCAGGGCAAACTGGCTCTTGGCATATCGAGCGTCAAGGTCTTCCGCCGTCACTTGCTTCAGCCACTCCCGGAGTCCATCCCCCTGGCAGCACCACACAGGCACGGAGTAGGTAGGGCCCGGGGAGGTGATACGGGAGATAACGCAGCAGGAGATGGAGCAAAAGTACGCACAGGGAAGAGGAAGGGAACAGCAGAGATGGGAGCAACAGGAGGCGGTGGTGGGTACAAGTGTGAACGCGCCCCCCACCTTTGTGCCGAGGAGATGCTGCTAAAGTGGATGGCTGAGCCTCGTGTGGGCGTGCTCATGGACCTGGGGAGGATCAGATCCCGCCTTCCTGCAATCATCCGTGCCACAGATGCTCCTGCCGTTGCTGCTACAACTGCTGCCGCGTCCTCCTCTTCCTCCTCCTCCTCCGCTCTCCCCTTGCCCACTCCCCCTGCCTCGGTCCCCTGGCAGTGCTGCTGGCGCTGCAGCAGCTGCTGGGCCTCTTACCGTCACACTGTGTCACTCTGCGCCTTCCTTGTGCTTGTAGCGAATTCTCCTCGCTTTGTGACTTTGTGGAGGGCTCAGCTTGCCTCCCTTGAAAGCCTCTTCGCTGCTATTGGGAAGGAGCTAGGGGCACACAGGCAGGAAGAGGAAGATTGTTTGGCGACGGTGCTGGTGCAGGTGCTGGGGGTGAAGGGAGGAGAGGAGCTGAAAGACGGGTTTAAAGCCCATGTGCTGCCGCTGTTGCCTGGTGGCGCGGAGGCGCACAGAGAGAGCGAGGGAGGAGCAGGGGAGGATAGGGGAAAGGGCGGAATAGCGGATGATGGGGGGAAAGGGGGGAATGGGGGGAAGCTGGAGGCTGGGAGAAAGGTTGGAAGACGGGAGGGGAAAGGTGGTGGTGGCGCGTTCAGCAGTGAGGAGTGGAGGCGGGGGCTGGAGGGTCCTGTGTGGGACAGGTATGTGGGCGGTATGGCCTGTCTTCTTGCGCAAGAAGGACGGGATAAGATGAGGGCCCCCAAAGCCGCTTCCAGCAGCAGCAGTGATCCCAATGGTTCATTGAATTCACGCATCTCCAAGGCTTTCATCAGCAGCGGTACTCCCGGGGGCATGTTTGTGAGTGGCATTGACGCCACTGATTTCGCCCTTGCCGTTGCTACAATCCTCTCCAAGCCCCAATTCTCCGAGGATGCTTGCCAGGTGTTCTTCACGGATGCTAATAACGAGTACAGAGTGAAGCTGGAGAATTCTGCGACTGAGGCTGCCAGGAAGAAAGTAGGCATGGGTGCAGAAAGAGAGAGGGAGGGTGGGGTTGGAAAGAGCAGTGGAGCTGAGATTGGTGTGAAGTCCACGGCGAAGGACGGCTGGGAGGCGGTAATCGCAACCAATAACACGCTCGTGACTGTACTGACATGGCGGGTGAGCTGCATTCTCATGTGGGTTCGAACCTATGGCCCGAACCTGCAATCTCCAAAGTCATGTGCACTCCGAACCTGCGTCAAGCCAAGAGAGGATCTCCCAGTCCTCCGCCACCCATTCCGGGATCTCCCGAGCATGCTGATCAGGTCCGGCACCATGCCGGAGCCCTTGGTTCGGCGGGGCTTTTCTTGGGAGTGGGGAGAGTGGCCTGCTGGTGATGAAGTTGCTTTGAAGCTTCCTGATGACGTGCAAGCGAGGGCTCTTTTATGAGAAACGTCTTGAAGAGGTGTATGGGGTCACTGTGGAATGGAAATTTCCAGCTAATGCAGCAACAGCAGTATTGCCAGCAGCAGCAGCAGCTTCAAAGAGCCGTCCAGTCATTCGCACTTTGGCAGACTTGGAGTTTCTGGTTGAAGCCTTGGCAGCAGACAGAGACCCTTCCAGATGCACGTGGTGCTTCAAGTGCCACATCAAGCACGCCATTTCTATCAACCGCGTTGCCCTGCTCGCCTCCTACGCATATCGCCCCATCTCCACCCTCATCCACCGCTTCCTCTTCCTCTTCCCCCCTGACCAAACCAAAGAGGCGTACAACCTTCTCAGCCTTTTCATGCCGTCAGGGCAAGAGGAGAGGGTGAACTGGAGGCACGTGAGAGGACGGCTGGAAGGGTTTGCAGAGGAACAGGAAATGGCGATGCTCATGCATGCTTGCTCCATAATAGCGGGCAGGTGGGCCAATGCGGAGGAGGTAAATCCGGGGCGGTTTGCTCGGCTTGTAGAGGAGGAGGGCGCCGGGCAGGAGAAGGGTGGGGTGGGCAAGTGGAAACAGCTGGATAGCGAGATGTGGGAGGAGGTTCGGATGTGGAGGCACGCTGCCAAGTGTGCATGGCCCGGGGAGAGGAGGAACTGGATGGGGGAACTGCGGGATAAGTGCATGGGCCGCAGGAAAAGGACAAAACGTGAGAGTAGTGAGGAGGAAGAGGAGAGAGAAGAGGAGGAGGAGGGGCCGGTTTATGCACAGAACTGGGTGGGAGGAGTGAACCTGCTTGCCTGCCTGAGAGCCATGCTGCTGGGGGAGCCGTGGAAGGGGAGCCATTCTGATGCTGCTGTTTCTGCTGATTTGGAAAAGGGTGGGTTAGCAGGGAAGATGAAAGCGGCACAACGAGCAGCAGGGAACAAAGCAGGGGGCAGAGCAGCGGGAAGGGAAGGACCCGGAACCCCGGCAGGCACTTTCTGGACAGATGCATCGGGTGTAGATACTCGGGCAGAGCGGCTGAAATCTGGGTACAGGCGGGTGTGCCAGGGGCCAAGGTGCGGCTGTGTGGAGTGGGATGGCGTGGAGCTGAAGATGTGTAGGCGGTGTGGCAGTGAGGCGTACTGCAGCAAAGCGTGCCAGAAGGCTGCCTGGCCCTCCCACAAGCTCACATGCCCCGGCTCAAAGAGGGCTGGAAAAGGAGAGGCTTGATGAGAGGAGTGCAGGGGGCAGGTCAAGTACTCGTGACAGAGAGAGCTGCAGAGAGCTGCGCACAAGCTCAGGCGCTGCTCAAGAAGCAGGGGAAAGGGGAGGCATGAGAGAGGAGGAAGGGAAAAGTGCTGTGCAGACATGAGTGGCAGTGAGGTGTACTGCAGCATGGAGGCAAGAAGGTCCTGTGGCTCAGGTGCCACAAAAAGGAGGGGGGGTGATGGAGAGGCATTAGAGAAGAGAGGAATTGATGGGAAGAGGGGGATTGAGGGGAGGTGCTGTGTGGGCAGGCGTGTTAGTCAGGCGCATTGCAGCAGAGAGTGCCATAAGGCTGTGCGGCCTACCCTCATGCCCGAAGATGAGACGGACTCGGCCTGGCAGAGATATGAATGCACGTGTTGTAGCGATTGTGCAACAAGGAGTGCACTATTAATAAAATACAAAAGATTCTTGGGTGTGCCTTTTATTAAAGAAATATTTGGTCACAGATGGGACAATAAAATGACATGCGGATCGTGCATGAGAACCTTAAGCAAGTTGACAGGAAATTTCAGCAATCACACAGGCAGTTGAGTCACATGGCACCCCATAAAGACAACATGAGTTAGTGAACCGAAGGCAACCGAATTGATCCCAACTCAATTGCGTACCGAATCGCTGAATATAGCGGAAACTACAACTGAGCGTTGCAAGTACGTCTAATTCTAGTTCAATGAGGTCTAATACGATCTGGATCTCCTCATTAGGATTTCGAATGGTTCAGTTGGGTATCTTGGAAGAAAAGCATTGGGGCCTGACATTTTAGGGTTTAGATTCCGTCTGCGATCTGACAATCACACAAGTGCTCATCACCTGAAGATCCCAGCGGAATTCGGTCGACGGAGCCGAATTGCCAGGGTCGACGAGGGGGGTCGACACGGAGGGGTCCGACGAGGCGGGCGACTGACGCGCGTGCGGGCCCGCCAGCCTGGCCCAGGGCTGGGCCGAGCGCACGACCGCCGCCCCGCAAACCCCCCCCCGAAAGTGAACAGCGACCCACGTTACCGGGTGGGGGCGGCGAGCTGGCGAGACCTCGCGCGAGGGAAAGTAACCCCGGCGCGAAGGCAGCCCACCCGTCCCTCCTGCCCGCGAGGTCCTAGTAACCCATCGCGGCCTGCCCGTACGGAGTGAGCTCAATAGTGTAGTCGACGCCGCTTGCGTTGTCAATGCGGAGCGTGCACCGTGCTAACTGACCGTCTGTGCCATGCTTTGCAGGTTTTTCCGGGCGGCTGTAATGGCCGAGCTTCGGCGCGAAGGTAGGAAATGGGACTGGGCGAAGCCGTCCGAGGAGGAGGTGCATGCGAGGCTCGCCGACTGCGACGAACCCCTTCGAGATGTGAGTTTCGAACGATTGGTGTCACTTCCATGCGCGATGCAACTGCCGATTCGTCCTTGCGAGATGCGACTGCCGATCTCGGTGCTCATATTAGCGCGCTCCTCTGTTGTATGCAGAAAGTGCCCGACACCGTCCGGGACGGGGACGCGGGCTCCGGCCTGCTAGCAATGAGCGCGTTGCTCTGGGCGGTGAGGCGGAAGGATCAGTTGGCCGGCGCCCTCCGTCGCAGTGCCACCAGCATGGACAAGGTCGCTGTTGCGGGGTTGAAGGGGCTGCGCACCGAGATGGTAGCCTTCATCAAGAAGCAGGTCGCGCTCATACGGTCGGGCCGAAACGTAGTTGCGGCCGACGTCTGTGACGACGACGGCGAGGAGGTTCAGTCGGCGCCCCAAGCTGGCGGTGTCGCCCCCACCATCGCTGATGCGCGTGGCGCCTCGGTCGGGAAGCCGGGTGGCGGCGTCGACGAGGCCGATGCGGCCGCAGGAAAGGGGGTGACGGGGACCGAGGAGAAGCACCAGGACGAGGTTGTTCATAGGGATGATGATGGGGTCCAGGGTCGTGAGGCGGATCGTGAGGATGAGGGGGGCTCGGAGGAGTCGGAGTCGGAGTCGGAGTCGGTGTCGGAGTCGGTGGAGGAGCAGGAGCAGCAGGAGCAGAAGAAGCAGGAGCACGAGAGGCAGCACCACGAGCAGCAAGAGGAGCAGCATGACGAAGAGGTGGACGTGGAAATGGCGGAGGGGAACGTTGCAGAAGGAGCGGCGGAAACGGGTGGGAGATCGGCGGAAATCGAAGGAGAGGGGAAGGGGGCGACAGCGGACGGAACTCAGCAACGAGGTCGGCGAGGAGGCGGCTCACGGGGGGAGTGGGATGGTCGTTGTCGGCGAAGGGAAGGAAGTTGTCGACCTCGAGGCCGACGAAGATGGGGATTTCGCCGCGGCGACGAAGCAGACGGGCGTGGAAATGCATACCGATGCTACCGCAGAGAAGGCCGGGGGGGAGCGGTCCAGGAAAAAGAAGGCGGTGAGCGGTCATCCAAGTTCCACCGCAGTTGGTCGGCAGGCGATGCCGGACGTCGTCGAGCAGCTGCGTGCGGAGAACCGACAATTGCGTGTTGACAATGCACGCTTGCAACGGCAGCTCGGTGATCAGGCGGGGCGGGTCGACTGCTTGGCGGCGGCGGTAGCTGGGATCCTCGACAAGCTCACGGCATTGACCGCCCAGGTTGCGGACACCGACCGGAAATCGGTGGAGCGCCTCAAAGAGGCCACGTCGACCATGGCGGCCACAATCACCGAGGACCTCACCAGCAACCTGGAGAACGCAGTTGAATCGGGCAAGAGGTTTGCCGAGCTAGCGAGGCAGATGCTGCTGGATATTGACGCCCCCAACGGACGAATGGCGGTCGCTCGAGCGACCGCGGTGGACCAATTGGCCGACCACGTGACGGGTGAGGTGGGTGAGGCGAGGAAGGCTTTGGAGGAGACGTTCATAAAATACATCGGCGCCGCGCAGACCAACATTGCAGCCGCCGTGTCTCCCCGCCTCGTCGTGCAGCCGCCGCCGCCGACCACCCCAGCGCAGGCCTTGCCGGAAGAGTTCCTGAATTCATTCAAGGAGGATCTGCTGAAGGCGGTGACGGAGGTCACGCAGCAGTCTTTCCTCGCCTCCGGTTTGAAGATAATGACCGAGATGGTCGGCACTGTGGCGACCCAAGCTCGGCGTGGGTCGTCGCCGTCGGCCAACGACGCCGGCCATGCGCAACCTATGGAGGCCACGAAGCAGGGTCTGAAGAGGGGGGCAGGCGGCGGGGGGGGCGACGGAGACGACGCGGGGAGCACGAAGCGGAGCAAGGGAGCGGGGGGTTCTCGCGTCGCCGGCGACGGTAGCAAGAAGGCCGGAGAAGGAGGGGGGGGGGGGGGGGGGGGGGGGACGGAGACGATTCGGCGAGCGCGAGGCAGACCAAGGGAGCGGTTGGTTCTCGCGTCGCCGGCGATGGGAGCAAGGGAGCCGGGGAAGGCAGTTCGGGGAAGCAGTCGGGGAAGAGCGTGCTCGACATGCTCAAGAAGCACTGGGCTGGGGTTCGAGCGGCCAGCACTGATCAGGGTGGTGGGGGTCCCGCCGACGAGCATGCCACTGATGACGCACTGCCAAGGGCTCCGCCTTCGGTCGCCGATAAGCCACCACGACAGGGTAGCGGTGAAGAAGGGCTGCGCGACAAGGAGAAGGCGGCCGCAAAAACGGCCCCAGCTGGCCAGGGCCCGAAGACAGGGGTCGCGGTGGCGTCAGCGGTTCCTCACCAGCCCCCAGCTGGTGCACGCCCTCCGACCGGACCGTCTGCCGGGCGACCTGCCGACGTCCCGCGCTCTGCCGACGTCCCGACGGCCGACAAGGCTGGCCGCGCGGGGAAAGGGGCGGCAGTTGCGGACGCGCTCAAGGAGCAGCTCAGGCGCCTAGCCGGCCACAAGGCTGTTCAACAGCCCCCCGCTGCTGTCGACGCCCCATCTGCCAGTGTCCCAAAGTCGCCGGTCGTCGCCGCCCGTGCTCCTGCAGACCCAAAGTCCGCGTTGCTGCGCGCCCAGCTGGGCGCACTAGCGTCGACTGCGCCAACTCAGCAGGCTTCTGGCTCCGGCGCTAAGACGTCGTCGGCAAAAGTCGCACCACCCACCCCTGTGGCAGCTGAGGTTGAGAAGGCGGCGGAGAAGGGCGTTCGTGCCGCCCTTGCCACCGGCGGCGGCCCCGTCGAGCAGGCGCCCCCCGATGCTGATATCGCTGCCATACAGGCCCACCTGGATGCTGCCAATCCCCGACCGCTGGCCATCTCCGACACGGCACATGTGGAGCCTTCGGCGGGTCTCGTCGGCAGTCCAGCAGAGCCGACTGCGACCGGTGATGCTGTCGGCGATGGAAAGGCGAAACGGAAGGGGAAGGCGGGCTCACAGAGGAAGACGCGGGAGAAGTCGGAGGCGAAGGCGGCGGATAGAGGGAAGGGGAAGGCGGCTGAGACGGCGGCTGACAAGGATGGAGGCGGCAATACGGGGGTGAAAGGGAAAGCGGGGGAGAATCAGAAGTCGCTCGGCGAGGGTACGTCGACGGGGAGGAAGGGGAAGGACAAGTCGGTAGGAGAAGGTGCGTCGACGGGGAGAAAGGGGAAGGAGAAGGCGGTCGGCGATGGTTCGTCGAAAGGGAGAAAGGGAAAGCGGAAGGCGGCGGAGGAGGATGTCGAGGAGGTGGAGGACGTCGAGCAGGAGGAAGAAGAAGAGGCGGAGGAGGAGGTGGAGGAGGCGGATGAGGACGATGAGGAGGAGGAGGTCGAGGTGGAGGAGGAGGAGGAGGAGGAGGAGGGGAAGAGCAAGGAGAGGCGGGGTCATGGCATCCGACACGATACCTCGGGCGACAAGCTAGGGTGGGTCGGCGAGATTAAGGTGCACGGCATCAATCGATACATCGGCAAGTCGCGTGAGAAGATGGAGCTCGCGTACGTGCACTCCATCGCGTTCGTCGTCTACGACGGTTTCGTGAGCAAGGTGCTCATGAACGAGCTCACCGTCCTGGACAGCGCCGAGTTGGAGAGGTGGAAGGAGGTGTGGGAGGAGGTCAGGATCTTGCCGACCGGGATGTGGACGGTGATGTGGGCCCGGGGAACGCTCCTTCCAAAGACACGGTAAGTCGGCAATCCTCCTACCCAAAGTCGATGTCGTTGTGGTGGTCACTAATGTTCGCCCTGTTTGTTGTGCTGGCGTGACAGGCTGAATGAGATCCTCGACAAGTATCGACATTACAAGACCACTGGCGATGCGCTGCACGCCGCGCTCCTGCCAGCGATATGGTACCCAGTCGATCCCGACACCGAGGAAGGCCGAGAGAAGTCGGCGTCCATGCTGTCCGCGTTGATTGGCCGCGTGTCAATGTGCGCTGCGTATGGGAAGACCGCTGCGACAGCGGCGAGAAAGGAGGGAGACAGCGACGAGAAGACGGATATGGCGGCATGGGCGTTAGGAGCATCCGCATGCGCTGTGTGGTGCTTCGTCGAGAACGGCGATGCCCAGGTGGAGGATGCTGTGGAAGAAGGGAAGGCGGCGGCGCTTGTGGGCGGAGCGAGCCAGGCGACCGCCGATGTATTCGGCAAAGTCATGGAGGCGGTGCTGAACGCCGAGATCAACAGGGACCGCCCCCTGGGAGAGGTTGCTTACAACGTCGCGCCAGCACTCAAGAGGACCGCCCTTGACATGGCCTATCCGGGGGTGGATGCCGGAGTCGATGCCGACGTGATCGCAAGAGCGACGGTCGAGACGATGGCGTTCTGGGGAATGTGCCCCGTCGCCGGGCCGAAACTCAAAGCGAGGGGCATCGCGGTGCCGATTGACGCGCAGATGAAGGCCGATATCGACAACAGGGGGAGAAAGGGTCAGAGGGGCAAGAAGGCGACGAAGGCCAAGGGCGGCACGGAGAAGAAGGGGACGAAGGGCCAGAAGGCGAAGGAGTCGGCGTAGTCGGGGAGGGGCATATGTAGCGCTATGCCTACTGCTAGCTTGGATTCATTGTTGCTTGGATTTGATGCTGCTATGGTCGATCTCGTTTTGTGTGTTTCGGCTGTCGGACCCCTTTGATGCTGGTTTTTTGCGTTTCCTTGTGTGAGTGCATGTCGACTTTATGTAGGATGTGTAATGAACATTTGAACCAGTATCTTGTCACATCACGAAGGATACCAGGCCGACACGTGACTAACTATGTTAGAACTACCACATGAGCATTGTGAGAAACTCAAAGTCGACAACTGTATAAGTACGAAACACATGCATGCTGTAACAACATCATCTACAACATGCAACAGCCCACAATCGCATGTTGCTTGTGAGCATTCACGCGGTCTTCTTGCGCTTGGTCGACTTCTTGGTCGGAGGCAGCTTCCCGGCGTCGTTTTCGCGGGCCAGGTCGGCCAACGCCTTCTTCATCCCCTCCTCCCATGTGTCCGGGAACAGGTCGGCGACAAACTTCTGTGAGTCTGCTGAGCGTGCTGGCCACTTAGATTGGTGTGCTGGTTCGTGTGCTGGTGGGTTCACACCTTTGTTCTGGGCTGGTGAGACTATTGTGTGTGCTGCTACGTGTTTGTTGAGGGACTATTGAGTGAGCAGCAGCATGGAAGTGCCTCAAACCACCTCCTTCACCACATCTGTACTGCTGCTCCCTCACTAACCCAACACCCCCCCCCCCCCCCAACTGCCCCCGACCGTCCCTTCCTCCTTTCCTTCTCCAGGTTCCAACACAGCAGCTGCGGGCTGTTGGGATCCAACTCACGCAGATCTTTCCTTCTCCAGCTCCGGGCTGTTTCTTCGCACTGAAATCACTCCTCGTGTCCTCTTCACCCACCTCCCTCTGTGCTCACCACGCCCTGCTGCTGCTGTCCTCCAATCACCCACTTCCGCGGCTGCAAGGGCACCGCAACTCTTCAACCATCACCCTCCCACCCCCTTCTCCCCACTCCCTTATACCCCACAACAGGATTCAACGCAGCAGTGGCAGGGTGTTTTTTTGCGCTGGAGTCGGTGCTGCGCTCCTCCGTGTCCTCAGCGCCCGCCTCCCTCACAACGGCCATGGTGCTGCTCGCCTCTGTGCTCGCCACTGCCCTGCTGCTACTCTCTCCCTGTCCCCAACCGCTAGTGCATGTATGGAGCGTAACTCTTCCACTACCGCCCCTCCCTCTTCTCGCTGCTCCTCCAAAACTCCACAACAGGTTTCAACGCAGCGGTAGCGGGCTGTTTCTTCGCCCTGGAGTCTGTGCTCCGCTCCTCTGTGTCCTCAGCGCCCGCCTCCCTCACCACAGCCATGGTGCTGCTCGCCTCTGTGCTCGCCGCCGTCGTCTCACAGCAGATCCTCGGCTCCGACCCCGCCGTGCAGATCCCTCTCTACGAGTTCCGCTCGCCAGCAGGTATGTGTTGGGGTTGAGTTCCATATGCCAGTGGTGTGTGTGTCGTCTCACAGCAGATCCTCGGCTCCGACCCCGCCGTGCAGATCCCTCTCTACGAGTTCCGCTCGCCAGCAGGTATGTGTTGGGGTTGAGTTCCATATGCCAGTGGTGTGTGTGTCGTCTCACAGCAGATCCTCGGCTCCGACCCCGCCGTGCAGATCCCTCTCTACGAGTTCCGCTCGCCAGCAGGTATGTGTTGGGGTTGAGTTCCATATGCCAGTGGTGTGTGTGTCGTCTCACAGCAGATCCTCGGCTCCGACCCCGCCGTGCAGATCCCTCTCTACGAGTTCCGCTCGCCAGCAGGTATGTGTTGGGGTTGAGTTCCATATGCCAGTGGTGTGTGTGTCGTCTCACAGCAGATCCTCGGCTCCGACCCCGCCGTGCAGATTCCCCTTTATGAGTTCAGATCGCCAGCAGGTGGGTCTTTTGCACTCACAGAATGAGTGGAAGAAGAAAGATAATAATAATTCACATATGAGTGGGCTGTCGTCTCACAGCAGATCCTTGGCTCTGACCCCGCCGTGCAGATTCCCCTTTATGAGTTCAGATCGCCAGCAGGTGAGTGTTGAGGTTACCAGATTGTGTGGGGGTCACAGAAAGAGACTGAGATTCATACATTAGTGGTGTGTCGTCTCACAGCAGATTCTCGGTTCCAACCCCGCCGTGCAGATCCCGCTCTATGAGTTCCGGTCGCTAGCAGGTATGTTGAAAACGGCTGCAGGTAGATGGTGTAGAGCTAACAGAGCGAGAATGAGACGGGCCTCTCAACGGTTAGTGTGTGTCGTCTCACAGCAGATCCTCGGCTTCGACCCTGCCGTGCAGATCCCGCTCTATGAGTTCAGATCGCCAGCAGGTGGGTGGTGTTGACATCAGCGGCCGGTAGAATAGGTAAAGTTGAGGTCACAGGGCAAGAATAAGGTGGAGCTGTTCGACTTTTGAGGCGCGTCAAAAGTGACCTCGCAGCCGGTAGGGTAGGTAAGGGTGAGGTCACAGGGCAAGAATGAGGTGGCCTGCTCTCCCCGCTGCCCCTTGTCGCCCCCCATTTCCCACCACCCCCCCTATTCCACCAGAGCTGCCCCTGTACCTGCTCCTTGGCCTGTGCTGTGGTGGAGTGTCCATCGCGCTAACCCATTCAGCCCGCCTCGCCACACACGCCTTTGACCGCCTGCTGCTGCTCTCCCCGCTGCCTCCCGCGCTGCTGCCGGCCCTGGGGGGCCTGTCAGTGGGGGTGATCTCCCTGGCCTACCCCGAGGTGCTCTACTGGGGCTTTCAAAACATCAACGACTTGTTGGGATCCAGACCTCTCGCCAGTGCGCCTCAGGTGTGCTTTGTCTCGCCCTCCTCTCCTCCCACTCAACTCTCTGGCCTACCCCGAGGTGCTCTACTGGGGCTTCCAAAACATCAACGACCTTCTCGGCTCCAGACCTCTAGCCAGTGCGCCTCAGGTACAGTGCAAAGCCCCCCCTTTGCATCACTCTGCTCTCCTAATTCCACTTCTTCCTGTCAGTGGGGGTGATTTCCCTGTCCTACCCCGAGGTGCTCTACTGGGGCTTCCAAAACATCAACGACCTGCTGGGCTCCAGACCTCTTGCGAGTGCGCCGCAGGTACTGCACTTCTCCTCCCTTCTCCTCCCATTCCTCCTTTCTCCTCCCTTCTCCTCCCCTTTCCTCCTTTCTCCTCCTCTGTCCTCCTCTTTCCTCCTTTCTCCTCCTCTCTCCTCCCCTTTCCTCCGTTCTCCTCCATTCTTCTCCCCTCTCCATTGCTCCCCTCCCTCTCACCGCCCTGGCCTACCCCAAAGTGCGTTACCAGGCTTACATAACATCTATGATTGCCTCGGCTCTAAACCTCTAACCAATGCGCCTCAGGTGATATTGACCTTCTTTCCCCCTGTTCAATCTCCCTTGCCCTTTCTCCTGGCTCTTTCCCTTCCCTCCACACGCCTACAGGTGGACTGTCTCCTCCAGCTGGTCGCCCTCAAGGTGCTTGCCACCGCCATCCGCCATGGTTCGAACAGGCCTCACTCTTTTCCACTACCCTCTTACTGCCCTCCCCGTCTGCCCTTCCTCTCCATCTCCCTCAGGTGGACTTTCTCCTGCAGCTGGTCGCCTTTAAAGCCATTGCCACGGCCATTTGCCGCGGGTCGGGCCTGGTGGGTATCTTCTATGCGCCGTTTCTCGCTTGATCATATCCCCATCGTGTCCCCGTTAACTCCCTCAGGTGGACTTTCTCCTGCAGCTTGTCGCCCTCAAGGTGCTTGCCACGGCCATCTGCCGTGGGTCGGGACTGGTGACTTTTGAGCCGACCCAAGACTCCCTGCACTGCGTTCGCACTGCCTTCTCGTTTTGCACTCCCTCCACCCCCTCAGGTGGATTTCCTCCTCCAACTGGTCGCCCTCAAGGTGCTTGCCACCGCCATCTGCCGCGGGTCAGGCCTGCCTCACTGCCTCTTCACTCTTTGTTTCTTCACCTCCGCCACTTCTCTTCCACCCTCTCAGGTGGACTTTCTCCTGCAGCTGGTCGCCCTCAAGGTGCTTGCCACGGCCATCTGCCGTGGGTCGGGGCTGGTGGGGGGCTTCTATGCGCCGTCACTGTTCATCGGGGCAGCACTGGGGCAGGCGTACGGGCGGCTGGCCAGTGACGTGCTGCTAGCGGTGGACCACGAGTACAATTTACAGTGGATTCAAGTGGCCGCCCCACAAGCATATGCCATGGTAAGTTGGTTGGGGTTTGCATCTCTGTCCGCCTCTGCACGTACAGTTCGTCGGGGGTTCCCTTGGGGCAGGCGTACGGGCGGCTGGCGAGTGACGTGCTGGTGGCTATCGACCCCGAGTACAACCTGCAGTGGATCCAAGTGGCCGCCCCACAGGCCTACGCCATGGTGGGTTGGGTCTTATACTGCTGTGGGAAAGCGAGACTGTACTCTGCAGCAAGGGTATTGTAAGGAGTGACGTGCTGGTGGCTATCGACCCCGAGTACAACCTGCAGTGGATCCAAGTGGCCGCCCCACAGGCCTACGCCATGGTGGGTTGGGTCTTATACTGCTGTGGGAAAGCGAGACTGTACTCTGCAGCAAGGGTATTGTAAGGAGTGACGTGCTGGTGGCTATCGACCCCGAGTACAACCTGCAGTGGATCCAAGTGGCCGCCCCACAGGCCTACGCCATGGTGGGTTGGGTCTTATACTGCTGTGGGAAAGCGAGACTGTACTCTGCAGCAAGGGTATTGTAAGGAGTGACGTGCTGGTGGCTATCGACCCCGAGTACAACCTGCAGTGGATCCAAGTGGCCGCCCCACAGGCCTACGCCATGGTGGGTTGGGTAACTTTGTGGGTTGTGGTTTGTGCGTCTGTCCGTTGCCGCACATACGAGCCATGTTCCGCTGCTTGATGGCAGGCGCATGGGCTAGAGACACATGACGTGCCAGTGGTGGTGGGTGCATCCCGAGTACAGCCTGCAGTGGATCCAAGTGGCTGCCCGCAGCATTTTTCATGGTAAGTTGGGTTTGTGTGCTACAGTGAAGTGGCCGCCCCATCGCATCGCATCGCATCCCATCACATCCCATCCCATCCCATTGCATCGCATCACATCCCATAACATTGCAACGCACCGCATCCCATTGCATTGCATCGCACCACATCGCAATCACATCGCATCACATCATATCATATCATATCATATCATATCGCATTGCATCGCATCGCATCGCATCGCATCACATCACATCACATCACATCACATCACATCACATCACATCACATCACATCACATCACATCACATCACATCACATCACGTCACATCGCATCGCATCGCATCGCATCACATCACATCACGGCACTCTCCGTCTCCATGTCTTCCTCTACATCCTATTCATATCCCCCTCGCCTCTCAGGTGGGCATGGCAGCAACGCTAGCCGGGGTGTACCAGGTGCCACTCACGTCAGTGCTGCTGCTCTTCGAGCTCACCCGAGACTACCGAATCATCCTGCCCCTCATGGCCGCTTCCACCCTACCTCCCACTATCCTCTCTGCCTCTCTCCTTCTCTCCCTCTGTCCCCGTCTCCCTGGCTCGATCCCTCTCCCCCTTATCAGGTGGGCATGGCAGCAACGCTAGCAGGGGTGTGCCAGGTGCCACTCACATCAGTGCTGCTGCTCTTCGAGCTCACCCGAGACTACCGCATCATCCTGCCCCTCATGGCCGCTCTCGCTTTCCCTCTCTCCTTTCTCCTCTCTCCCTATCTACCTGCCTCCTCTCTCCTCCCCCTCGCTCTCTCTTCTCAGGTGGGCATGGCAGCAACGCTAGCAGGGGTGTGTCAGGTGCCACTCACGTCAGTGCTGTTGCTCTTCGAGCTCACCCGAGACTACCGCATCATCCTGCCCCTCATGGCCGCTGTTGGCATCGCCGCTTGGATCGCTGCTCCTGCCACCTCCACACCACCATCACCCTCACCACCAGTAGCAGCAGCAACAGCAGCAGCAGCAGCAGCGTCAGCCGCACCAGTGGCAGCAACAACTTCGCAGTTATCAACCTCCTCCTCCCTGCCACCCGTCCCACCCTCCCTAGAAGCCACACCCGCTGCGCCCTCCTCTCCCCGCTCGCCCCTCCCCACGCCTCTCCCGCTCGCCATCGCCTCCCCGGGGGACTACACGGATTTCGCAGACGACTCGGCATCTCTAGACGTGCGCGATGGCGTGCTGCTGGAGGAACAAGTGCAACGTGACCTGCCCGTCTCCCAAGCCATGCGCCCCGCCTCCAGTCCCTCCGTTGCCGCCGTGCCGCTGGTTCTGGTGCGGCCACGCGAGTACAGCTCACAGGGAAGGCGCGATGGGGACACGGGGTATAAGGAGCAGGGAAGGGCTGGTGGGGAGGCGGAAATTAGTGCAAGTACGGTGGGGGTAGCAAATCCTGAGTCAGCTAAAGGAGCAAGTGGTGTGGGGTAGGTGGAGTATAGGCCAAGCACGGTGGGCGAGGCGGTGGCAGCGATGGTGGCCAGCCGGCAGTGGTGCTGCGTGGTGGTGGGGGATGGGGGGCGGTTGGAAGGGCTGCTCACACTGGTGGACGTGCAACAGGAGGTGGAGAGGCGGGTTGCTGCGGAGAGAAGGGGAGCAGGGCGGGGAGGGAGGGGTGGGAGGAGACGGCGGGGAGGGAGAGGGGGGAGGATGGGAGCAGCGGGAGCAGAAAGGGAGGGAGCAGGGGAAGGCAGCAGCGGAGAGAGCGACGGGAGCAGTGAGGATAGTGGCAATGGTGGCGATGGTGGCGATGGTGGCGATGGTGGCGATGGTGGCGATGGTGGCGATGGTGGCGATGGTGGCGATGGTGGCGATGGTGGCGATGGTGGCGATGGTGGCGATGGTGGCGATGGTGGCGATGGTGGCGATGGTGGCGATGGTGGCGATGGTGGCGATGGTGGCGATGGTGGCGATGGTGGCGATGGTGGCGATGGTGGCGATGGTGGCGATGGTGGCGATGGTGGCGATGGTGGCGATGGTGGCGATGGTGGCGATGGTGGCGATGGTGGCGATGGTGGCGATGGTGGCGATGGTGGCGATGGTGGCGATGGTGGCGATGGTGGCGATGGTGGCGATGGTGGCGATGGTGGCGATGGTGGCGATGGTGGCGATGGTGGCGATGGTGGCGATGGTGGCGATGGTGGCGATGGTGGCGATGGTGGCGATGGTGGCGATGGTGGCGATGGTGGCGATGGTGGCGATGGTGGCGATGGTGGCGATGGTGGCGATGGTGGCGATGGTGGCGATGGTGGCGATGGTGGCGATGGTGGCGATGGTGGCGATGGTGGCGATGGTGGCGATGGTGGCGATGGTGGCGATGGTGGCGATGGTGGCGATGGTGGCGATGGTGGCGATGGTGGCGATGGTGGCGATGGTGGCGATGGTGGCGATGGTGGCGATGGTGGCGATGGTGGCAATGGTGGCAATGGTGGCATGGTGAAGCTGGAGATGGTGCTGCAGCCGGGGTGCCTGCTACGAACATGACAGTGAAGGGGGCAGTAGAGGCTCTACCTGTCTCAGTGCTGTGCACGCCGTGGCAGCAGTTAGAAACCATCTCCCCTGCCGCCTCCCTGTACGAGGCCAGGAGGAGACTCACTGCCCGAGGAATCAGGCAGCTGCCCGTGGTGCTTCAGGTGGCGAAGGTGGGAGAGGAGGGGAGAGGGGGAGACGGGAGAAGGGAGGGCAGGACAGGAGAGGGGAATGAGGAGGGAGAGGATGGGCGTGGGGTGGAGGAAGGTGGGAGGAGAGCGGGTAAAGATGAGGCTGGAAGGGAGACGAAGCGATTTGGGGATGGGGAGGGGAGGGAGGAGAGGGGGAGTGATTTGCTGCTGGTGGGGCTGCTGGATCGAGACGACATTGCACGCGCATGCAGGTGGGTGCATTTGTTTTACCATGGCTTGCAGGTGGGTGCAGGTCGGTGGATTGGCCTTGCCATGTCTAGTAGAGTGGTCCGATCCAGTCTCAGAAGGCAGTGCATGAGCATGCTTGCAGGCCCCGCTGCTCACGTGCTGTTCCATGCGCATTGAACTTCTGGACACTGGTGTTTGCGGAACCTTCAAAAAGGCAATCTGCAGTTGATGTTCCCCACAAACCCCTTACCTCCCCTTTGGCCTGGCTATCCATCTCTCTCGCTCTCTCACACCCTTCCCTCCTGCTCCATCTCTCCCTCCCCTATCCTCTATGCCCATCTCTTCTCTGCAGGGCTGAGGCAACTAAACGGCTGCTGCAACTGTAGTTACTATCCAGCCGTTACATCTCAACGGGTCAGCTGCTGCAGCTGTGGTAGTTATGCGTCAAGCCTGTCAACTGAACCACGGATTTGCTATTCATTGCCACATACAGTAAAATGATTCATTACTTCTACTGTACATAGTTCAATGTCAGCATTCTTGTTGCTACAATCATCAAAAGAGGCCAATATTTCTATCAAGATTGCTTTCAGTGTTCTAGAACCAGAAGTGGTTTCATGGGTTAGTTAGTGAACCTGCTCTTCATAACTCTCCATGCATGCACTATCCATGCAATAGCCAGTTCGCTTGTAGCTGTGCCATGCACTGTCCATGCACGTGTCGTTCAAATGACCTCTCAATCCATAGTCACCATCCCCACCTCCCCAAATAATTCACCTGCCACTTCCCTCACAACCTCACTCCTTGCTGACTTCCTAACAGCCATCTCTGGCCCCATCCTTCCCACTCCTCTTCCCGCTGGTCCTGCCGGGGCATGTGAGCTTGTGGGAGGGCCAGTGCGCCTTTTGGCACTCTCTGCTGCAATACGCCACCTTGCCACACCCAGAGCAGTTCTTGAACTTCCCACCACCGCCCTCCACCCTTTCACACCCTGCAGCACCGCACACACGCCCCCCACAAGTAGCAGGGTCAGAGCCAAGTGTGACAACAGCACTGCACCCACGGCCTTGCACATCTGGAACAGCAGCAGCACGGATGCTTGTTGCAGCAGCAGCACAGGTGGTGGCAGCAGGAGTGGGAGAGGCAGCGGGAGTGGGAGAGGCAGCAGGGAAAGAAGACATAGCAGCAGCAGTATCGGTGGATGAAGCAGCAGGGGCGGAAAGTACAGCACAGGAGGCAGGGCGGTAGCATGGCTCCCCCAGCAGCATCTCTCGCAGACATGCCACCAGGTTGACCCCTCCCGGCCATGCCTTCAGATAAGCCGGCTCCTCTCCTTTCTTGCCCTTCCCCTTGCTTAAGCTGCCCCTGTTACTGCTGCAACCACCCCTGTTGCTGCTGCTGCTGCCGCCGCCTCCGCCGCCGCCGCCGCCGCCGCCGCCGCTGCTGCTGCCAGTACTGCTGCTCCCCGTGGCAGATCCACGCTGGCCCGGCAGCCCTTCACAGTACCTGGGCGAGCTGGCTGCATCGAGCATCCACGTGATATCACACTCCTCATCTGTACTTTCCTGCTTCCTGCCACCTCTGCACTCCTTGCTCTCTCCCTTATCCTCCACGTTGAAAATCCATGCAGCCATTGCTGCAGAATACCACATCCGCACCTCCTCCCACACCTCTCCACCGTTTTCCTGATTCATCTCACCATCCCAGCAGGTTTGCGCCTTCACCCTGCCACCTTTTCCCCTTTTCTCGGCACATTCCTTTCGTGCACCTGACCGAGTTCCCTGTTCTTTGCCATTGGAGCCAACTTTGAAACCATCACTTTCCAGAAGAGCAGGAGCGCACCATATCGACATGTAAAGGAGGAAGGTTAGAGGCACCTGCTCTGCCCGTCTCAGCAGCATGTGCACGTTCACGGGCCGGGGCAGGGATGCAGGGAGCTCCAGGCACTGAACGAGCTCATGAAAGCCAGGGGAAGACGGTGGGAAGACTGAGAGCACACGAGAGAAAAGGTGGTTGATGGGGCGATAAGCGAAGCTGCCAATGAGAGCAGCGGTGCACAGATGTCGCATGTACTCAGAGGAGCAGCGCCTGCACTGGGTGCATGCAGGAGGGTCCATCATATACCCGGCAAACCCCACCAGAAAGTCCACATCTGCCAGACAGCGAACAATCGGAAGCTTCCTTCTGGGCGGGGGTAGAATCGTTGCTCTTTGCTTGCCGGTTCGAAGTGCTTCAGCTCTTTCAAGCTCTCTCTTTTGTATGCCTTCCTCCCACTCTCCTTGCCCTACTAACCTGTTGATCTTCTTATTCCGCCTCCCGCTGCCCCCTCCTGATTCTGCTTCGGCTCTTTCATCCGCTGTCCTCTCCATGAATTTCGCCCACATTCCTTGCGCTCTTGCCTTGGACACACTTGCACTCCTGTTCCCTCCAAATTCAGCTATCCCACGCGGTAAGCTCCACTCAGCTTCCTGGCTACCCTTTTGGCCTTCTGCATTAGACCCTTTCTCCTTTGCACGCATGCTGCCCGCTACTGCTTCAGATGTGCGCGCAGGAGGTTCCTTGGTCAGCTTCTCAGCTGCTTCACCACGCTCCTCCTCCACAATCCCAAGCCCAAAACACCGCTCCTTTCGGTTCATAGTAAACTTCACAGCAGCTTCGTCACCCCCAGGCCACTCCTCCCACTCCAAAGGAACGTTCCTTCCCACCATTGGCTTGGGAATGGCGCCGAACCTGACAAGCAGGCTCGGAAGGTCCCGAAGCGGGTGGCGCATGGGCCGGACGTTGCTCTGAGGGCTGTCCTTGAAGCACTGTTTTTCCGAGATGGAATCTGAGCCGTAGACTCGGACCCACTGCAAGATGCAACTGACTCGATACGTCAATGCAGAAACCACAGTGTTCGTATTGACAGGCACGAGTTTAGGATTCATATCAATGCTCGCGGCAGCAGTAGCAAGCGCAGCTCCTCCTACATCTGCTCCTCCTCCTCCATCCACCCACCTTGTCTGCTTCAAACGGTGCAGCAGCCTCCTCCTGGCCACCTGAATAGCTGCATTCTCTACCTGCACCTTGCTCGCAGTGTTCCCATCATGGAAAAACAGCTCTGCATCCTTCCAGTGCTCTGGTTGAGATAACACTGTGGTCACAGCAAGGGCGAAATCTGTCGCATCTATGCCGCTCACATGCATACCCCTTGGAGCACTGCTGCTGCTCTTACTGCTGCTGCCTGAACTGCTGACGCTGCTGTTGCTGCTCCTGCTGAAGATGCTGCTGCTGCTTCTGCTGACGCTGGTGCTGCTGCTGCTTCTGCTGACGCTGGTGCTGCTGCTGCTTCTGCTGCCATTGCCACTGCCGCCACCACCACTGCAGCTGCTGCTGCTACCCCCTCCTCCATGCTCCAGAATCCAAGCCATGCCATCCACATACCTCTCCCATACAGGTCCCTTCAGAGTATCTCTAAACTTTAAATCCTTCCTTGCCCGCCCGCACTTGCTACCAACTCCGCAACCAACTCTGACCCCTACCTTGCTCTCTGCCTCTTCCTCTCCATGTCTCCCATCGTCCTTCCCATGTGAAGCCTTCCATCTGCCCTTCCCCTTCCCCTCTCCATGCGTCTTCTCAGTCACCTTCTCCTCGGCTGTCCCCATCCCCTTCCCCTTCCCATGCGTCTCCTCAGCACCCTCCAACCCGGTTCCTCCCCTCCCTTGTGCATGAGCCTTCTCCAGCCCTCCTGACAGCAGTTCTTGCACAAAGAACCCGAATCCTTCCTGCAGATCAGCACTCTCCTTCACCCCCAGCACCTGCACCAGCATGGAAGCGAAATTGTCGCACTCCCTCTGCCTGGTTGCCCCCAGCTCAGTTGCAATTGCTGGCCAGGCAGACGAGTAGGAACCTAAGCGTGCTTTCCATAGAGTCACAAGGCGGGGGGACCTCGCCACAAGCACAAGGAACGTTGAGAAGCTGACAGCACGGCGGTAGGCAGCCCAGCAGCTGCTGCAGCGCCAGCAGCAGGACCATGCTGGAGAAGCAACAGGGCCAGAAGAAGCAGCAGGAGCAGAAGTGGAAGCAGCAGCAAGAGCAGCAGGAGCAGCAGCAGGAGCAGGAGAAGAGGAAGCAGCAGCAGGAACAGCTGCAGTGGCACACAAAACAGCAGGCAGGCGGGATCTGATCCTCCCCAGGTCCATGAGCACGCCCACACGAGGCTCAGCCATCCACTCGAGAATCATTCTTTCTGCACAAAGGCGAGGCGCCCTCTCTGGCTTCCGCACACACTGCTCCTGAGGGTGAACTCCGTGTGCCTCTCGTAGCGAATGCACCGATGCCGCTTTAGAGGACTCAAAAGCGGCCTCGTTGAGTTGCTGCTGCTCCGGGGCTGCTGCAGGGATGGAGCGAGGCTGCGGCTTGCGCAGGTGGCGACGCAAGTCCTCCAGATTTTTCATGGCAAGAGCTCGCTGTGCTCGCTGGCTGACCGCACGATCAAAGCAGCATGCGCACAGATCCTCATCCCACCCGCCCGTAACTTCCAAGTAGTGAACCATGTCCGCATGAGACAGCAGCTGGCGCGGCTTGGGACTTTCCTCCGCCCTTGCTTCCTCCGCCCTTGCTTCCTCCGCCCTTGCCTCCTCCGCCCTTGCTTCCTCCGCCCTTGCTTCCTCCGCCCTTGCTTCCTCCGCCCTTGCTTCCTCCGCCCTTGCCTCCTCCGCCCTTGCTTCCTCCGCCCTTGCTTCCTCCGCCCTTGCTTCCTCCGCCCTTGCCTCCTCCGCCCTTGCTTCCTCCGCCCTTGCCTCCTCCGCCCTTGCCTCCTCCGCCCTTGCTTCCTCCGCCCTTGCTTCCTCCGCCCTTGCCTCCTCCGCCCTTGCTTCCTCCGCCCTTGCTTCCTCCGCCCTTGCTTCCTCCGCCCTTGCTTCCTCCGCCCTTGCTTCCTCCGCCCTTGCTTCCTCCGCCCTTGCCTCCTCCGCCCTTGCCTCCTCCGCCCTTGCTTCCTCCGCCCTTGCTTCCTCCGCCCTTGCTTCCTCCGCCCTTGCCTCCTCCGCCCTTGCTTCCTCCGCCCTTGCTTCCTCCGCCCTTGCTTCCTCCGCCCTTGCCTCCTCCGCCCTTGCCTCCTCCGCCCTTGCTTCCTCCGCCCTTGCTTCCTCCGCCCTTGCTTCCTCCGCCCTTGCTTCCTCCGCCCTTGCTTCCTCCGCCCTTGCCTCCTCCGCCCTTGCTTCCTCCGCCCTTGCCTCCTCCGCCCTTGCCTCCTCCGCCCTTGCCTCCTCCGCCCTTGCTTCCTCCGCCCTTGCCTCCTCCGCCCTTGCCTCCTCCGCCCTTGCCTCCTCCGCCCTTGCCTCCTCCGCCCTTGCTTCCTCCGCCCTTGCTTCCTCCGCCCTTGCCTCCTCCGCCCTTGCCTCCTCCGCCCTTGCCTCCTCCGCCCTTGATTCCTCCGCCCTTGCTTCCTCCGCCCTTGCTTCCTCCGCCCTTGCCTCCTCCTCCGCCCTTGCATCCTCCGCCCTTGCCTCCTCCGCCCTTGCCTCCTCCGCCCTTGCTTCCTCCGCCCTTGCCTCCTCCGCCCTTGCTTCCTCCGCCCTTGCTGCCTCTGCTGCCCTTCCGTTGGCCTCATCAGGCAGAGTCGGTTCACCCTGGTTGATCTGGACTGTAGAACTTAGTTTCAACTGCAGCATCTTGAGAGTTCCCAAGTGCTCTTTTAATCTCTCAACGGACTGTAACAAGCATGTCCCTTCCACATAGTCTTCCTCATCCTCTTTCGCTTCCACTTGCTTTGCTTCCACTTGCTCTGCTTCCCTACCGTCTGCCCCAGTTAACTGTCCCGCTCCGCCCCTCTCCGTCCGGAGTGACAAGTACAACGCCTCCACACTCCTAAACTGCTCTTTCAACCTCTGAACTGACTCTGCCAATGTTTACTGCCGCTTCTTCTTCCTTGTTCCTGCTCCTGCCAGAACCAGAGCCACGGCACTTCAACTCTGCTCCTCCCTTCGACTTGTGCCTTTGGCGTTCCTTGCTACTGTCAGCATCAGGATCAAGGGACTTCAGCCCTGCTCCGCCCGCCACTGGTGAAGCTCCTCTCCTCAGCTTCCGTCCCTCGCCTCCCATGCTGCTCGGCTCGATAGGGTCCGATTTGCCGGTAGAAGCATCAGTCGCAGCAGCAGAATCAGTAGCAGGAGAAAGAGAACTTAAACGGAGAGAATCTGCAGTTGCAGATGCAGGAATAGAAGCTTCCCAAAACTGCTCGACTTTCTCCTCGCCCTTGTTCCTTCGACTTTGATGTTTTTTTCTCAAGGACGCCACGTTGATGCGCTAAGCTTCGCTTGCTCAACGGTCAAGTCAGGAGAAAGGCACACTTGCTGCCCAACAGCCATAAAACAAATCTCCTGCTTCCGAATCTCAGAACCTTGCTCCACCAATTTCACCCCGTCCTGTCCTCCTCCCTGCTGCTGACGTGTATCGCATGGCAGGCAGCAGCTGGGCAGGTGGGACTGGAACAACCGGTTGAAAACCGAAAAAAGAAGCTCGTCGGGAGCAACAGTGAGAGAGACGGCCACGTGCGCTGCAGTCGGCTTACTTCCGAAGCTACGGTTGCTACTCAAACGATCGACGTGATCCGTGACGCATCCTGTTGTCTCGCCACTGTTATTCGTACAGCCGCAAAATCCACAATTCGTCAGACTAGATGGGATTTTGAAAAGAACCTCGAAATTTATGTCGGATCCTGCAAGATTCTTATCGAATCTGCCTATGATAGGTTAAACCCGACACTGCCTTGGATTCAGATCCGTCGCTTTCACTGACGGAAAGGCCTGTAGTGGTAGTATTCTCTCGGTCGATGGCTGAAGCCCAGCGAGAGTCGTGATCCCCGAATTAGCTGATTCTACGAGACCATCGGCATGGTTGCACGCAACGCAACGTTTCCATCCGTTGGATGCTTTCCGAACCGAACCGGGCGACGCTGTGACGGGTTCCCATTGCCCGAGTCACGCGAAGCTGAGGCTTATCCGATTGTGTGACTACCGTCTTGGCAGAGCATAAGACCATCCAATCAGATTCAGTCGTATGGGGACGGATCAGTGCTCGGCGGTTCTTTCTGATCGCATACCCTGGTGCTGCCATCCCAGAACCGTCGATGCGTCGTTTGAACACGTTCGATCTTGCCATGGAACGAAAGAAACTGCCCAATCAGAAACGTGACTGGGAAAGCGCGATCGGACCGTCGTTTCCGGACAAATCTCGGGAATAATACTCGACGAGGCGTCTGCTGATGTAAGCTGTCGTCTCGAGCCGACCCTGAATGCTGTCGCAGCACCAGCTTCGATGATGCCATGGCTGAAGAATGAATGTGACGACGAGTATAGAGCACCTGGGATTGTGAGTTCTTGGAATCATGTCTCAAACGCCTCCCCGTTCTAGGGCTCAGCATGTGCTTTCGCGTTTGAAGACGTTCCGTTCAGCGGTTAGTATGGAACGTTTGTAATCTATTCACTAATAAAAACTCTCATCTGGAACATCCTTTTATTGCCTCAGTTCGAGGTAATGTTGCTTGTGTGCCGCTAATTAACATTAAGGTACTTGATTCGATAACCATGTGTGCACCTAATCTTTAATGCGCTCCCAACACCCCCCTTCAGCCAACTTTCCCCCAAGCTTTTTTCCTAAGCACCAAATCTACCTAGAGACATTATGGTCACAGAGGCGCCACCTGGCTGGCAATGCCGTGAATAATCAATTATGTGCGACAAAAAGGCTGAAAACAAATCTACGCCACCCCTTGCACGAGCAATGATTTGTCCACTTCCCTCTCTTCTACCCAGCATATTTCTGCCCCACTCGTCCCTACCACGCCTCCTTCCTGCCTGACTCTTTCCACTCGCAATGGACTGACATCTCCACCACCACTGTTGATTCTGCTGCTGCTGCTGCGGCTGCTGCACGCGTGGCCTCCCATGCTGCCTACTGTGTTTTGCAGTGAAGACCTTTCATGATGACCAAATTGACCGTTGTGGCTCGCCGTGCCCCAGGCATCACCTCCCCTGCCTAGCCCTCCCTTCACGCCATGCCGCCAGGGCGATGCAGCTGATGGGAGCAGCCACGGGAAGGTAGGGAGGAGGCGGAGAGAGCAACAGAGGGACAAACATATGAGCAGCAGAGGAGGGCGAGAGGGGCATGGAGGGGAAGATTGGGTGTTGTGGGAGGGAGGAAGCACGAAGTGGTGCCTGAGGGTGCGATGGCTACGGTGAGATGGTGCGGGAACAAAGAGGAGGTGAAGGAAGGCAGAGGAAGAGGATGCTGAAAGAGGAGAGACACTTGGCTCGTGCATGGAGTGATGTAGGAAGGGTTGAGAGAGAAGAGGTGCCTGAGGGTGCGATGGCTACGATGAGATGGTTGGTGAGCAAAGGGGAAGGTGAAGTTTTGAGAATTCGCAAAAGTCACACAAAGGGGAAGGTGAAGGAAGGCAGAGGAAGAGGACGCGGGAAGAGGAGAGACACTTGGCTCATGCATGGAGTGATGTAGGAAGGGGCATAGCATGGTGGGATGAATGGCATGGCACGATGAGATGAATGGGGTGGCGGTGGATGTTGGGTATGAGGATGAACATATGGAATAAGGTGGGTATGGGGATGAACATATGGAATAAGGTGGGTATGGGGATGAACATATGGAATAAGGTGGGTATGGGGATGAACATATGGAATAAGGTGGGTATGGGGATGAACATATGGAATAAGGTGGGTATGGGGATGAACATATGGAATAAGGTGGGTATGGGGATGAACATATGGAATAAGGTGGGTATGAGGATGAACATATGGAATAAGGTGGGTATGGGGATGAACATATGGAATAAGGTGGGTATGGGGATGAACATATGGAATAAGGTGGGTATGGGGATGAGCATATGGAATAAGGTGGGTGTGGGGATGAGCATATGGAATAAGGTGGGTATGAGGATGAACATACGGAATAAGGTGGGTATGAGGATGAACATATGGAATAAGGTGGGTATGGGGATGAACATATGGAATAAGGTGGGTATGGGGATGAGCATATGGAATAAGGTGGGTATGGGGATGAGCATATGGAATAAGGTGGGTATGAGGATGAACATACGGAATAAGGTGGGTATGGGGATGAGCATATGGAATAAGGTGGGTATGAGGATGAACATACGGAATAAGGTGGGATGACCATATGGGATAAGGTAGGTATGGGGATGAACATGTGGAATAAGGAAGGGAGGGCAGAGAGAGTTTAGGGAGATGCCAGGGAGGGAGCGGAAGGGAGGACTTGAAAGGAATGAAACGGAAAGGGAAGGGATATGGGTTTGAGACGAAAGACGATGAGAGCAGAGGAATGTGGTTGGGAAGAAGGAATGTGGGGGGAAAGGGAGTGGAGAACGGAGCAGGTGTTACGTCGGACAAAAATGCTCATGAAAACAAGCAAATGAAGAAGGCTGCTCTCATTGAGAGTTGAACTCAAGACCTCCCGCTTACTAAACGGGTGCTCTAACCAACTGAGCTATGAGAGCTGATTTTGGGATTTCATGTATCATTTCTAACAATATTTCTCATATCGTCCACTCCTCTCTCAACCCCTCTCCTCTCATACCCGCCACTCTTCTTATAACCCCTAAATGATATCGTTCATTGACCTCCTACTTTCTGCCTGTGCGACTTTGCCCCTACCTGCCTTCACTCCCACTCAGGCCCCAGTCATCAATTGACAGGCCGGCTTGTGTTCTGCTCCCTTTGGACTCATGCAATTGCAATGATTGAGTAGCTTCATGTCAAAGTTGTGAAGTTTATGGTCACAACATGTGATGGGGCGACGAGATCAAGGGACTAACAATAGGGACTGAAGAGACAAAAGGGTGCCGATGGAAGAGGTGGCAAGACAGGCGACAAATAAGAGCACAGACCTGATTCAATGGAAGCAGGTTCGATACAATGCACTACTGACCTCAGTGTAGAGATAATTGATGGTTGATCGGTGTGTGAGCGCTGAGACCGCAGCGGAAGGATGCCACTGGCTGGGTGGACTGGGCACACATGGTATGTTTTGAGACGTCTCAAAATACGTGGTCTAGGCACACATGGTAGGTGTTTGTGGGGGGGGGGGGGGGGGGGGGGGGAGAGAGCAGTGGGGTGGATGGCGGATAGGCTGATTGGAGCAGTGTGAAATATGCACTTCTGGTGGTGGTGATTGGGGAGAAGGGTGGCCAGAGGGAGAGAGGGAGAGCAGTAGAATGGGTGCAGGATATGCGGATTGGATGCTGCACTACATACACCTGGCAATGGGGACTGACCTGCCACTGACATGCCACTGACCTGCTACTGACCTGCTACTGACCTGCTACTGACCTGCTACTGACCTGCTACTGACCTGCTACTGACCTGCTACTGACCTGCTACTGACCTGCTACTGACCTGCTACTGACCTGCTACTGACCTGCTACTGACCTGCTACTGACCTGCTACTGACCTGCTACTGACCTGCTACTGACCTGCTACTGACCTGCTACTGACCTGCTACTGACCTGCTACTGACCTGCTACTGACCTGCTACTGACCTGCTACTGACCTGCTACTGACCTGCTACTGACCTGCTACTGACCTGCTACTGACCTGCTACTGACCTGCTACTGACCTGCTACTGACCTGCTACTGACCTGCTACTGACCTGCTACTGACCTGCTACTGACCTGCTACTGACCTGCTACTGACCTGCTACTGACCTGCTACTGACCTGCTACTGACCTGCTACTGACCTGCTACTGACCTGCTACTGACCTGCTACTGACCTGCTACTGACCTGCTACTGACCTGCTACTGACCTGCTACTGACCTGCTACTGACCTGCTACTGACCTGCTACTGACCTGCTACTGACCTGCTACTGACCTGCTACTGACCTGCTACTGACCTGCTACTGACCTGCTACTGACCTGCTACTGACCTGCTACTGACCTGCTACTGACCTGCGAGTGGAGTACCCTCAGCATCCTGCACGTTGTCCGGGAACAGGTTGTCCTGCAGGGTTCCCTGAGGCGCCGCTCTACGACTTGGGAACAGTGCGCAGCCTCAGCAGCCCACATGTTGCCCGTGCACAGTGCGCCCGTGTTTCAGCGGCGAACGCCTCTTGACCTAGATTGCATTGTACATGTCTCATAGCATGATGGCTTGTGTGCAGGATGCCAATAGGGTGATGAAAGGCATGAGTAGTTCAACACAGGATGGTAAGCTGGAATGCTCAATGGGTCATGGCAGGATGGTAAGCTGGAATGCTCAATGGGTCATGGCAGGATGGTTAACATTATGAGTGTTGTCAAAGATGAGGAATTGCATGATAAATGTCACAAAGTTGATTTTTGAGTCGACTCAAAAATCAACTAGCATGACAAATGTCACAAAGCATGGTGATTTTGCTGAATTCGCCATGGAATTATAAACGGCATTCTCAATCAATCACAACCTGCTGGATTGCATTGCATGCAAAATGTCTCATATGTGCTTGGTAAATGTCTCGCAGCATGCTGTATTGCATCATGAATTCCTCATGGCGTGATGAATTGCATACGGAATGTGCTGAATGCTGCTCGTTTCACAGCATGGTCAATTGCATGCGGAAAATCAGATGGGATGAAGGTTGAACGTCCTATGGCATGATGATTCGCATTTCGGAAGTTTGATACCAGGCTCTGTTGCGCGCTGAGTGTCTTATGGCTTGGTGATTGGCGTACTGAATATTTCACTGCATCATAAAATGCTTACATGTATTGATGCATAAGTATTGCGTGCTGGATTGGATGTCTTGAGTATGATGAAAAAAAAGAATGAATGAATTCTGAATGCTGTCACAGTGGAATGACGTTCATGCAGAATATTTCAAGGCATATAGATTGTTTAAATCCCTTTCGTAGCATGATGAATTGCACTCAGAATGTCTTATGGCATAATCACTTCCGTGCTCTATGTCCCAAGTGAAGTTATATTGAATGGATTGCCTGTGACATGATGTTGCGCATGCATGACGATGTGCAGACCAAATCCCTCATGGCAGCAAAAATCGCAGAGCTCAAAGGAGTGGGAGGCATAAGATGAGTGGAAGGTATGAAGGAGTGGAGGGTGTGACAGGAGTGGGGGGTATGAGAAGGTGTGGGGAGGTATGAATTGGTATGAGAGGAGTGGGGGGTATGAGAAGGTGTGGGGAGGTATGAGTTGGTATGAGAGGAGTGCGGGATATGAGTTGGAAGTATGAGAGGAATAAGGGGAATGGGAGGAGCCGGGATTCAAGAAGAGTGGGGGATATAAGAGGAGTGAGGGACACACGAGTGAGGGATATAAGAGGAGTGAGGGATATAAGAGGAGTGAGGGGTGTAAGATGAGTGAGTGGCATAAGAGGAGTGAGGGGTATAAGACGAATGGTGATTATGATTGGAGTGAGGGTGTGGGAGGTGTGGGGGTTATGAAAACAGTCAGGAGAATGAAGGGGTACGAGAGGTGTGGGGGAAATGAGAAGAGTGGGGGTTATGAGAGGTGTGGGGGGCATATGGGGGTATGAGAGGAGTGGGGGGTATGAGAGGAGTGGGGGGTACGAGAGGAGTCAGGGGTGTATGCGAGGAGAGAGTGGAGGATATGGAGTAGTGGGGGGAATGATGGGAGTAAAGGGTATGAAAAGAGTTGGGGGTATGAAAGTGGTGGAATGGGAGGGGTGCGGGGCATGAGAGGAATGGGGGTATGAAATGATTGGGGGTGTATGAGAGGAGGGGAGGGTATGAAAGGGTTGAAGGTATGAGAGGGATTGGGGGAGAGCGGGCAATGGGGGGTATAAGAGGAGTGGGAAGTTGAGAGGAGTGTGGGGTATGAATGAAGTGGGGAGTATGGGAGGGATGGGGGGTGTGAGAGGAGTGAGGTGTGTGAGAGGCGTGGAGGGTATGATGGCAGGGGCAAACACAGTTGGGGAAGGAGAGTGGTGGGGGGTTATGACAGAAGTAGGAGTGTAGAGAGAAGTTTGGGGATATTTTATAACGCAGATCTCAAATTCAATCGCTCAAAAAGCTTTCATCAGTATGAATATATCTGCTGATGCATACGGCACGTGTATGGTATCTCCAAATGCAGATTTTAGCATGAAAGTTTCCCAATGCATCTATGAGGTTAATCTAACAGAATGTGGCCTAATTCCCACTCTTCCTCTGAATACAGGATACGACTCTGATTGCATTTTACGGTACATGGTTCTTTTTTACAAATTGCATCTCTCACCTGCATAGTGACTCAAGGCTTGGCTTCAGAAAAGACATTGGCGAGCCATGAGTGATGTGGGACTTACTGGACATTGAACCTGAGCCTTGAGGACATTAAACGACTCCTGTGGATGCCTGCGGGGCCATTCAACGATCACACAGACAGACTACCACACCTGCTGAATGTTTCTGCTCTTTTTGTTTTCTTGAATTCATTATCTTGCCTATGCATGATGCAGCCCAAGTGAAAACAAGAAACAAAAAGCGTCGGTGCGAGACAAGCAAAATCTCAGAAACACACTACCAAGAAACAAAACGGTTTTTGCAAGGCAAGCAAGACGAGAGATCACCTACAGGTCCCTAAACGGTTCTATAGAGTCGTTAATCTCCCCTGGCACCAGCTTCACTTCACTGCCGTGGGACCAGCTTCAAAGACGGCTGGCATCCAGCATTAGCGCGGAAATATTGCAAGCCAGCCAGCCGAGTCACTGCTCCTCAATCACTTGCACCAGTTTCGCAGGAACGGAGCGGATGGAGGTGTCACGCAGTACCAACTGGTGCAGCCGGGAGAGACATTCCGGGAGGTGCTGCAAGGCGTTGCAGCGAATCAGCTCCAGCTTGCACAGCCGAGACAAGCGGGCCATGCCTTGAGGTAGCGCCACCAGCTGAGGCGCTTCAACAGTAAGTGACATCAGCGAGGTGAGCTTCAGTATGCTTCCTGGCAACTCCTCCGGTGACCAAGAGTGAAGCTCCAGTTGCTGCAGCTGCGGCAACGCTGCTGCCATGTTTACTGGAAGCCTGCTGATTCCCGGCGCCTCTATCAGCAAGCTGCGCAGGCGAGGGAGAAAGGTCAGGGTGACTGGCAGCTCCCGGCTCTCGCCTCCCAAACGCATCTCCAGATGCTCCAGCTGCTTCACCTGCTGCAGTTGCTCCAGTGGCTGCAGCAGCTCTAGCTGCTCACTGAACAAGCTGCGCAGGCGAGGGAGAGAGGACAGAGGAATTGGAAGCTCTGGCCCTCCTCCCTGCTGTTCCAGCCACTCCACCTGCTCTCTCATCTGCTGCAGGCACGTCAGCATGCTGCTCATTGCAGGCCCGCATCGAACCCCAACGCAGTTCAGCTTCAGCACCCTCAGCTGCAACAGCTGGGAGATATCCACCACATTGGAAGAGCTTTCTCTATTGGAAAGGGTTTCAATAGAGGGGGGCAGCCCAGCTGGGAGATTATCCAGCTGCTCACAAGCCGCCAGTTCGAGGCTCTTAAGCCCCACAAGTGTCTCTAGACTTGCAGGTAGTTCTGAAAGCAGCTGGCTACCTTCACCATTTTAAGCCCGGCAAGCTGAAACAGTGAGCTGGGAAGCATTTGTCTGGGAAGCCCAACAGGGAAGCAATCATCTAGCTTAAGGCTCGTCAAGGAAGACAGGTTAGTGAAGAAGGCCGGGCAAGGATGCGGGCACTCATGCAACCTGAGAGCCTGTAGACTTGGAAGGGCCCCAACGTTTTCTGTCAACTCCACTTTCAGTGACAATGCGATGCAGAGCGCCTTGAGAGCAGTAAGGCGGCAGAGACCCTCTGGCAGCTGTGAAAGCTCACCGCAGTCAAGTATAAAGAGTGCCTCGAGAGATGTGAGATGGCAGAAGGAAGGAGGGAGACTGGCGAGAGACAATGCTTCCAGCACCAGCAATTTAAGGGCAGGCAAGCGACCAAAGTTGTTGGGTAAGGTAAATGCGTCACAGAAAGAGACAACGAGTGTTTCCAAACAGCTCAGAGAAGTGAAGCTTTCATTCAGGTGAGTGAAATGATGGCAATCGCGAATGGCCAGCTTCCGAAGGCACGGCAGCAGGTCTTCAATGCCGTTAGGAAGGCTCTCCAGCCCACTACAGTTGGTGATCAGCAGCTCCTCTAGTGCGGTGAACGGCGATGCTGATGAGAAGATGGCGTCCAAATCAGGACAAGATATTAGGAAGTTGAGCGATTTCAGGCAGGACGGTAGCGTCACGCTTGCAGCACCTGCTGGCTAATGGTTGTGGTGAGGGGCTAAGGTGGAGAGGTGGGCGAGTCGTGGGAGGTGATGGAGGTTGGACAGGTGTTGAAGATTCCAAGGGAAGGTGATACAGAGGGTGGAAAGATTGGTAAGGTTTGTAAACCCAGGATGCTCCAACGCTGCAGCGTTATGCAGAACAACGGTGTGCAGATGTCTCAACTGGTAGAAGAAGTCTGGGAGCTCTGTTGCTTGGTGGAGGCAGAAGAGGAAAAGCTGCTCCAGCTGGGGGAGCTTCTGGAAGAAGCAATCCAAGCCATCCGTAGTTACCCAATGCTCCTCCTTCCTGCGATAATGCTCAACTGGTTGGACATCGCCCTCTTTTGATGGCCATGCAAAGCTCCTTACTACGTGGAGGCGAGTCAGCTTCGGACACGACGAGGCGAGGTGAGCAAGAAAGGCGTCATTGAGCGGCTCGACGCTGTTGTTGCTGAGATGTAGATGAGTGAGGCACGGGAAGCATGCGACGGCGGCTGAGAGATCTTCGCGCGACATGAGGAGATCTTCTTTGACGAGCAGCGTCGTCACGTGAAGCTTCGCCACACGGCGCCAACGACGGCAGACAGACGCGATAAAGAGATTCCGAGCCGCATCTTCGACTGCAGGAGGAGCTGGTATCGGTGGCTTGACTATCAGACATGCTTCGTCTACATGATCGCGAGGTGACCATACATAACTGGACGTCCACAAGCTATCTATGAATGACTCGCATGAATCAGGTTTCTTAAAGGACCGCCTAAGAATTGCAAGGAGAATGTCGTCTGGCAGATTGTTGATGCTCGTGAGAGGCTCCATGCTGGAAATTCGAGAATGAAATGTGAACGCAGCACGTTATGGGCTAAGGATTGGCAAGTAGTTGAAATGTTAGCTGTAAGAACCGTCACTCACGGGGAAAGAAGGTACTAGCGGAGTGGGCCCAAATGTGCACGATATATACACTCCTTTCATGTTATGAGTTGTCAAACAGACTTGCGCGGAATAACGAATAACGAGGCTGTGACTCAATGAATTGACGATACAATGAAAGACATGCGATTATATAGCGAGGCAACCTAACTAGGCGGGAACCTCGGGAACACGAGGTTGAGTGCAGGTTGGGCAAAGGAAAGCCGAAGGCGACGCGAGGTTGCTTCGGCAGCAAGCAAAGCGGCCGAACGTGCACTTCCGAAAGTTGGGGTTGTACGCGGTTGAGTAAACCCCAGTAAGGAAAAAGGGTTTTTCCTTACACTACCCCCCCCCCCTTAAGAAAGGTGGTCAACATCCACAGCTCGCTTGCGGGCGAGGTAATCACCAAGAAGCGGGGAAGCTTCAAGCGAGGCGGATGGCACCCATGTGTCGTCCTCACTGGTGCGGTCAGTCCAACGGATAAGAAAGTCCACGTGGCGTCCCGAAGCGTCGAGCCGAACACGATGCGCCAAAATCTTGGACGGGTCGAGTGTCGGTTCCGGGACAGGTCGAGCTGTCGGGACGGCGTTCTGGCATGCGATGTCTGTTGTGGCAGGCACGAACTTGCGTAATAAGCTGACGTGGAAGGCGTCGTGAATACGCCAGTCGTCGGGTAGTAGCAGCTTCGCGGTGACAGGTGTCACCATCTTGAGGATCCTGAAAGGCCCACAGAATCGTGGCCGTAACTTCGATGGGCCGGGCAGGTGCAGGTTCTTCGTGTCCAGTAGTACTAGTTGCCCAGCTGCCAAGACGAGTTCCCGTCGTAAAAGGTCGGTGTATTTGCGGGAAGTGGTATTCGCCTTGCGAATTGCGTCCGCAGCCTTCTCGCGAATTTCTTGGAGTTCTGTCACAAATGTTTGTGACCTCGGGACCGGGTTGTCAAGTGTAGTCGTTGTAGGTACCACCGGGTCCATCCCGTAATTCAAGAAGAACGGGGAGTGATTAGTCGTGCTGGACGGAGCGTTGTTGAACGCGAATTCCAGCATGGCGAGCGAATGTTCCCAGCGAGCGGGGTCGGGGCAGTTTGTCCTGATCAGCTGCTCCATCGTCTGATTGGTCCGCTCGGTCTGGCCGTCGGTTTGCGGGTGGTATGCCGACGAGAACTGTAGCTTCGTTCCGTACTGCGCCCACGTCTCCCTCCAAAATTTCGATGTGAACTTTGGGTCCCGGTCGCTGATGATCGCCGATGGGATGCCGTGTAGTCGCACAACGGTGGAGATGAAGAGGCGTGCAGTTTCTTCGGCGGTGATTGTCGTGCGACAAGGTGCGAAATGCGCCATTTTTGTGAGGCGATCGACGACGACGAGTACAGCGTCGTTGCCGGACGGCCCAGCTGGCAGCCCCGTGACAAAGTCCATCGTCACCTGTTGCCATGGTCGTTCGGGTGGCTCGAGAGGTTGCAGCAACCCAGCTGGCCGCTGACGTGTCGATTTCATGGCTTGGCACACCCTGCATGAGGACACATATCGCTGCACGTCGTTAGCAGAATCAGGCCAATAATACTGACGGTGCAACAACTTCTGGGTTTTATCAACCCCGAAATGTCCGGAGAGGTTGGAATCATGGACCTCCTGAATAAGGAGTTCGCGCAGCAGCCGGTAAGCGGGAACCCAAATCCGGTCAGTTCCGGCCTTTAGGTAATAATTCCCTTTCTGCGTCGTCGCCTGCTGGTGATTTCCAGTCGTGAAGAACGGGTCCGTAGTGTAGCCGTGGGTGAATAGTCCCGAAAGAAGCGGGTTCGAATGGGTGATCAGCACAGCAGCGGATTGGACTGTCGGTCGGGTCAGGGCGTCGGCAATATTGTTCGCGCCCTTCTTGTAGGTGATCCTGTAGTGGAAGTGTGACTCCATGTAATCGAGCCACCGGATTTGTCGCGGGTTGAGGTTGGGTTGCGCTCGAAGGTACTGTAGGGATTTATGATCGGTGCGAACAGTGACGTCGGCGCCAGTCAGGTAGCATCTCCACAGTTTAAACGCGTGAATGATGGCGAGCATCTCCTTGTCGTGAATCGGGTAGTTGCGCTCGGCTGCCTGCAACTTGCGTGACTCGTAGGCGATCGGTTGTAAGCCGTTGCCAAAATCCTGGAGCAGCACTGCGCCGATGGCGAAATCTGAAGCGTCGGTGACGACTTCGAACGGCTTGGATGGGTCGGCGATGCGAAGAACCGGAGGGGACACCAGTAACTGCTTCAACTCCTGAAAAGCCGCCTCAGCCTCTTCCCCCCACACGAAATTCCTATCCTTGTGCAGCAGGTCGGTCAGCGGGCCGGTTATCCCCGCCATATTCGGGATAAACCGCCGGACATAATTCACAAACCCCAGAAAACTCTGAAGTTCTGTGACATTAGTCGGGGCCTTCCATTCCTGGATGGTCTTGATTTTCTTCGGGTCGATTTTGATGCCGTCGCGTGAGATGACGTGCCCCAAAAACTCCAACTCTTGCTTAAAGAACTCGCACTTAGAGCCTTTGGTGATGAGCCGGTTCTCCTGTAGCCGCTTAAACACTGCGTCGAGGTCGCGGAGGTGCTGCTCGCGTGTCCTGCTAAAAATCAGAATATCGTCCAAGTAGACGATAACACACTTGTCTAGCAGGTCGCGAAATACCCTGTTCATGGTGCGTTGAAATGTTGATGGCGCGTTCGTGAGGCCGAAAGGCATCACGGTGAACTCGTAACTGCCGTAGCGGGTTCGGAAGGCGGTCTTGTGACAATCGTCAGCGAAGACCCTGATCTGGTGGTAACCCCCCGCGTAGGTCAATCTTCGAGAAGTAGCGAGCGCCGCGAAGTTGGTCGAGGAGGTCGTCGGTGCGTGGGATGGGATAGCGAGATTTGATGTTAACCCGGTTGAGCGCTCGATAGTCGATGCACATGCGAATGCCGCCGTCCTTCTTCGGTGTGAACAAGATCGGGGCAGCGAAGGGTGAAGTACTGGGTCGGATGAAGCCCTTCTCCAACAGTGACTCAAGTTGACTTCGAAGCTCCGCAAGTTCGGGCTGAGTCAACCGCCACTGTTGACGTGGCGTGTAATAGTGATGGCTTTGACGCATGTAGACTCGATGCAGTCCGGAGTCCACGCGGGCAGAGTAATCAGCTTCCCGTCCTTGCTGATGCTGCACGATCCCGTCGTCCAATCGATTATCGGGTTGTGCCGTCGCAGCCAATCGCGCCCCAGGAGCACGTCGCATCCGTCCAACGTCGTCGCGAGAAACTTCATGCTGAAGCCGAAATCGTCGCCGCACTCAATCCGCACCGTCCGTGTTTCTTCCAAAATCGCCAGAGGCGTCCCATCCACGAGGCGGGCGTCAATTTCGGGCAGACACCTGTCCAGCTGCAACTTGCATTTTTTTGCTGTCGCCAGATTGAAGAGGCTATGGCTAGCCCCGCCATCGACGAACATTTTTATTTTTTTCTTAACAACCGTGCCAACAACCAGCACAGGGTGATCCACATGTTCACCCCCGTTATTCGTCCGAGTGCGATCGATTGCATGAATCGGAACCACGACTCGGTGGGGATGGTGGGGTTCGGGCGACAGAGCACAGTCAGTAAGGGGCCCGTCTGTTACTGACTCTTCCCATTTCCCGGCTCCTTCCCGTCGTTCTTCCTTCCCAGCGTCCTGTCGGGGCAGTCTTTATACATGTGGCCCGGCTTCCCGCACTTAAAACACAACCCTGTAAAAGGGCGGTCTGGCGCATGGACTCCGTTAATCGTGGCCCGCTGGGTCTGTCCACGAAATCGGTTTCCCTCCCGAGAACTCGATCTCGCCCACTGCATCAGCGCGTCTGTGCTCTCGGCCAATCGGACGGCTTCGTTGAATGTTGTCGGGCGGTTTCGGCGCACCTCGAACTGTATCTCGTACTTGAGGCCGCTGATGTATTTATCCAACCGCTCCGCCTCCGCCATGTCGTCCACTTGGTCCGCGAGCGCCATAAACGACGCCGTGTAGTCTTGAACAGAAGCCAACTGCGACCAGGTACGCAGCTTCATGCGAGCGTGTTCCGAGGCGGATACATGCTCGAAACGCTCTCGTAAGGCTGCGCCCCACTGTTTCCACGTGCGAATTGTGGCCACACCGAATATCGATGATGCCCTCCCAATAGCAGAGTCCGAAGTCCCGTCTGCCGCATGTGTCACACCTGTCGGGGTCCCCGTGTCCAAGGTTCGTCGCCACCACTCAAGCGCCGGGCCTCGCTGAAGTGATACCGCGTAATTAATACGCGTGGCGTCGTCGTTAACATTCGCTGCAGAGAAGAACACCTCCACGCCGAACAACCACCCCTTAACAGTAGTGTTCTTGTCGGTAGGGTTGAACGGGGGCGGGCTCGTAGGCTTTATCTTGATTGTTGTCACTGCAACTGTTGTCGCTGCCGCCGCTCGCTGCCTATCTTCTTCTTCGAAGCCGCGTGTGAGCTCCTCCAACGGATTGCCGCTCACCGCTTGACCAGTGCTCTCGCCTTCTTCAGCGGGCGACTCCTGGCGCGCTTCACCTCGCGCCTGGCGTAGCTCGTTGTTTTCTTCACGTAGTCTCTCCACTTCTGTCGTTAACGCCTTCATGCCTGCCGACATCTCCGCCACTTGCTGCATCAACGCGTCAAATGCCGCCTGGTCCATGAGTCGCAAGCTACGTCTAACAGGCAACTGGGTACCCGTGATTATCCGGCAACAGTGCAAGCGCAAAAGCTATCGGAGTCGGGCAAGTTTAATTTAATAAACTTTGCAACCAACCGCTTTGCAGCCCACCGTACCAATCACACCCGTGCCTCTAAACTACCCTGGAAAAGCGGGGTGAACTAGGAAAGTAGCTCTGATACCAGGTGTTATGAGTTGTCAAACAGAGTTGCGCGGAATAACGAATAACGAGGCTGTGACTCAATGAATTGACGATACAATGAAAGACATGCGATTATATAGCGAGGCAACCTAACTAGGCGGGAACCTCGGGAACACGAGGTTGAGTGCAGGTTGGGCAAAGGAAAGCCGAAGGCGACGCGAGGTTGCTTCGGCAGCAAGCAAAGCGGCCGAACGTGCACTTCCGAAAGTTGGGGTTGTACGCGGTTGAGTAAACCCCAGTAAGGAAAAAAGGGTTTTCCTTACATTTCATGTGCGTTCTGCTCACAGCAGACGGGAGGAGAGCAACAGAAGGGAGGACGGTGGGGTGAAACTTGAGCTCACGTCTCTAAAATGACACTGTATTGGACAAGTGATGAAGCAATGACTAGTTCCGATTTTAGTTTATCTCTGAAACACCAGCGTCAAACTCCTTTCCTTTCCCTCGGCTATCAGATCCAAATTTCTCCAAACAAGAGGGGTGAGAAACGGGTGTGATTCCCCCCATCAAGCCTTCCCCCCATTGTAACAGATAGTGCCAATTTGCCACAATTGTAAAGCCTTCCGCCAGCCATCCGCACGCACGCACCCACGCAACCTGCCCCTCCCCTCTTCCTCTGACACGATCAAGTTGGTAAGGGGCCTTGTCGACGCTCGCGAATATCGAGGTAACCGTGAGTGCTTTGGAGGGGTTGTGCTGAGGTGATGCGCCTGTCGCTAGTTGGATTGGCGAAGGCGAACCCATCTGGCGAATCGCACCTCGCCTGTCATTCTCCCAAACCAAACAAAGGTTCCGCCATTAGGGAAACCCGATGCCCAAACTGACCAATCACAGTCCCTGACTCGAGATTCGAGAATTCCGGAGTTCCGACCGACCGCCTCGAATGAGCTGATGCCGAGGACGTGTCTCCTCCGGGTTTTCCACGATCGATCATGCAAACCGATCTACACTGCTCTGAAGGCCTGCATATTATTATTGAAAACGTCTATAACCGTTGGTAACCGCGTTAAAATTCGATCCTAAGCAGGATGAATCGTGCAAAATAAAGAAGGCACGTGCTCATCCATGGCTCGTCAACCGAGCTGGTCGGAACTTTGCCAATTTCGAATAGGTAACGCACTGCTTTTCGGCTCCTCCTAGGTTCGATCCAAAATTCCAATGCCTCGAATAAACGGTCCATCCATACAGCTCGAGGCTTACGTGCTGTCGCCGTGCATCCTAGAATACTCAAACCGTTCCTCGTGATGGTCGATAAGAGTGTAGTTGTGTGACCCACCTTTTGTTCGAGCCACCTACAGAAACAATCAAGTTTATTCGGCTGATCGTGTTCCAGCTGATCATGAGCGCGCCTATGGCTTGACTATCAGCAACCATGCCTGTACCCTATTCTAATACCGACCTCCAGATTTTGAGCAAACAGCAATTCCGGATTTAGCTGCATGAGAGCTTTTGAGTAAATGGAACCGTGGTAGGAGGCGACGCAATCGAAGGCGGAAAAAGGCTGTTCTGCTTCTATCGACGACCGATATTTGCCGCACGCCGGTTCCGCCGGAAAGAGGGCGGCGGGGAGCGCGGTGGCGGGGAGTGCGTGAGGAGGGTGGGAAGGAGGGTGAAAGTGGCGAAGGGGGAGCCTAACAATTTGTTTTTGTAGGCGGCTCGAAGAAAAGGAGGGTCACACAATTACACAAAAAAATAGAGAAGAAATTTATGCTAGGAAAGGAGAGGTGCGACTCGGATAGAAAGTCCGTGTCGCCACGTTATCTAGCATAGCATCTCAACATCACGCCTCGATGCTATGCTCTGCTGTACTATTTAGTATGACGGGGATAAGAGGAAATGCTCTATGCTAGCAAGTGTTGCCGTTCGTAGCTAGCTAGGCAACTTCCCCTTTCCCTTTCGGAGATTCCCATGCATCCCGCACGGCGAATCCCATCTTGTTGCAGGTGGGGAGGGGGGGGGAGGCAGTTGGGAAGTTGGATACGGCCAATCTGGTGAAGGTGGTGCGTTGCTCGCTGTTGGGAGTGGCAGATGCTTATAGGCGTCACTCATTGCGTCACTCATAGGCGATGGTATCATGGTGTTAAAGGGACAGTTGATTAGACACCTTCAAAGGGAGGGCTATTGATCCTTTCCCCCTCCAACTTGCCCCCCCCCCCCCCCCCCCCCCCCCCTCTTGAGTCCTTGCATCCTCCCCCCTATCCCATCCATCCAGCCTCGCATTTGTGTATCCCACACTGACTTATGACCCCCTGACATCTGCCCTACCACAGAAGCACATTAATTGCAAGGCACAACCCACATCTCTCGCCTTTCCCATTCCCCTTCGCCACTTTTCCCCTTCCCCCTTCCCTCCCCCCCGCACTGCTCCTCTCTTCTCCCCACCCTCCTCCCCCCCTCAGCCCCGCACTGCCTCGCCTTCCCTGACTTGTGCCCCACGGATTCCTGCCACTACGGCATGGGCGCACCGGCATGGGCGCCAGTGCGCATGTGCACACTGTTCGCGGAAGATCTGCGAGCGAGCAGCTGGTGTGGCAGACGCGCGGGAGAGGCTGCAGGCGAAGCTACGCGAAGCTAGCCGTGCTCTTCCTCCGGGTCGAGCGGTGGGAGATTGAGGTGGGCTGTAATGGTGCCTTCGAGTCGACTCAAAAGACACCGCGGGAGAGGCTGCAGGCAAAGCTGGCCGTGCTCTGCATGGGGCCACTGTTCGGGGCCCCATGCAGACTTCCAGGTTGAGAAGTGGGAGATTGAGGTGGGCTGTAGTGGACCAGTGCTGCTGGGTGACTGTTGGGTGAAGGAGGTGCATGGGTGGTACTGGTGGGCTGCTCATGTTGAGGACAGATTCCATCATCTATCGGCTTTTGAATACAACAATGGAGGGTGCAAATATGTATCGGCTCCGCCACTAGCGGTGCGGCACGGAGCCGGAGGCTGTTACCTGCTATTACCTCGAGAGCAGGTTCAACCAATGTCAGGGCGGCATCTTGGCTATCTTGAACGCAGCTTCACGGCCAGGCACCAGCCGAATCGCTCCTATCTCACACGCCTTTGGGAATCCCAATGAGTTCTCACACGCCTCGATCTCCCTCTTTTTTGCCTTCTGGTCCGCGCCACCGGTCACAATCCACCTTGCTGCAGTTACGATCGATCTCGGATCTTGGAGGACGGGAATTCGCACTGGGTGAATGTTGAGTTTGACCCAACAAGCTGAGAATGCCAGTGTGACTCTTACCACGAACGAACGCCATCGGTCGCCAGCCTTTTACGGTCACGCAAAGCGCACCATTCGCGTCGTTCCGAACAGCTGCGTGCACTGCCAGATTTCTTTTGAGGCGCCTCAAACGTCGGATCAGCCGCATGCACTGCCAGATTTCGGGCTTTTCTCTGAGGCGCCGGAGATGCCGTTGGAGCCAGGCTTGAATACCCCAAACGACGGCGACTCAAAGGGTCGCAGGGAGGGGACTCTTTTACGCCAAAGTGATGCTGCAGCTTTCCGTGTGTCAGTATTACCCACACGGTGTCACTCAAGTCACTCCCCCAGGTGGTTCTCGGGTCGTTTGAGTCACTAGCAGCTTAGGTCTCTGTAAGGTGAATCAGCTGAGTTCATTGTTGATTTGCAAGAGGCTGACTGCCCTGCTGCTGACTTCCCTGCTTTTGACTGCCCTGCTGCTGACTTCCCTGCTTTTGACTGCCCTGCTGCTGACTTCCCTGCTTTTGACTGCCCTGCTGCTGACTTCCCTGCTTTTGACTGCCCTGCTGCTGACTTCCCTGCTTTTGACTGCCCTGCTGCTGACTTCCCTGCTTTTGACTGCCCTGCTGCTGACTTCCCTGCTTTTGACTGCCCTGCTGCTGACTTCCCTGCTTTTGACTGCCCTGCTGCTGACTTCCCTGCTTTTGACTGCCCTGCTGCTGACTTCCCTGCTTTTGACTGCCCTGCACCTCTGTGGCAGTGCTAGTTATCCAGGTGGCAATACGGGACTAACAGGGACCATCAGCCAAGAACCAATGCTCTTTCTCCCCCCCCCTTCCCATCACTCACCGCTTCTCTCTGTCATGGTCAGCAGGTCAGGCGCCTCGAACTTTCGTGCTCATGAACGTGGCCCTCTTTGCACAGTCCCCTTTACTCTTGAGCTCATCCCCGCATGTTCTCTATGCTTCTCTCTCTGTCTTCCTCTCTCACATGCCTTCGCCCGACCCTTCACGACGCACACAGTATGAGCCGCGGAGCCGCGGTGCTTGACTGAGTGAGTTTCTGTTCCCCTTGCCTCTCTCTTCATGTTGTTACTACTGTTCTCCTTGTTCCTCTTGCGTCTCTCCTCCCCGCCAGGCCCGTACCGTCATGCTAATAGCAGCAACTGAAGGGAACATGTGTATGGCTGAGTGCTTTCTTGTTCTCTTGCTCGTTTCCTCACACTCTTGCTACTTTCTTCCTTGTTCCTCTTCCTTCCCCGCCTTTCCCTTGCCAGACCCTTGCCCACACACTAAGAGCAGCGGCAGGATAGAACACGTGCGTGGCTGAGGTGAGAGAGTGGGTGTGGAAGCGAGAGTGTGAGTGTGGGTGAGGGTGGGTGAATGGCCCTTGCATGCACACTAAGAGCAGCGGCAGAAGGGAACATGTGCGTGGCTGAGTGGCTTCGCACTCCCCTTGCTCCTCTCCTTGCGTTCTCGCTCCTGCTTCCCGCGCTCCTCTTGCTTCCTTCCCCTCACCAGGCCCTTGCACGCACTCTAAGGGCCGATTTTTGAGTCGACTCAAAAATCCCTTGCACGCACACTAAGAGCAGCGGGACGAGAGAGTATGTGTGTGACTGAGGTGAGGCAGTGGGGATGGAGGGACGAGAGGTCAAGCGTGGAAGAGAGTGAGGGCGGGAGAAAGTGTGGGGCAGGGGTAGAGAGTGAGGCAGGGAAGAGGTTGAAAATGGGAGAGTGAGGGAGAGGGGGGGGGGGAGGAGTCTAGGGACTGGGGCAGAATTGAGGAGAGAGAGGGTTGAGTGCGAGTGAAGGTGGGAGAGAGTGCGGGGAAGGAAAGTAGTGGGTGGATGGGAGTGAGGATCCAACGAAGGTAAGTACACGGGCGAGCACGTGACCTGAACGGGTCTGCCCTCCTCGACTCGAACCTGCCAATTGGTCTTCTGACATTTTCTCAGCGAGCAGCAAACTTACTCAGTCTAAAAGCTAAAGAAAGGCAGTAAAAAAGCCTGTAGTAAATAGATCCGGATCTGGCCTCCCCGACTCGAACCTGCCACATTACCGTCTGGCATGAGTGTGGCACATGAGCATGAGTGTGGCACATGAGCATGAGTGTGGCACATGAGCATGAGTGTGGCACATGATCACGAGTGTGGCACATGAGCATGAAGAGAGGACGAGCACATTAGGACGAGGAATGTGCAGATTGCAGCAGCAGAGGATAGCATGTTTACGTTGCTCAGGTGAAGTGAAGATGCTTTAAACAAGACAGGTGACTTTACTCTCAACTCAAGAAGGTTGACTCGGCAACCTCCTCGTTGCTCAGGTGAGGTGAAGATGCTTCAGACAAGCTCAGGTGAGGTGAAAATGCTTCAGACAATCTCAGGTGAGGTGAAAATGCTTCAGACAATCTCAGGTGAGGTGAAAATGCTTCAGACAATCTCAGGTGAGGTGAAAATGCTTCAGACAATCTCAGGTGAGGTGAAAATGCTTCAGACAATCTCAGGTGAGGTGAAAATGCTTCAGACAATCTCAGGTGAGGTGAAGACAGGTGAATTCACTCTCCACTCTAGATGGTTGACATGCCAATTTTCTCGTTGCTCAGGTGCAGCGTGCTCAGGTGCAGCGTGCTCAGGTGCAGCGTGCTCAGGTGCAGCGTGCTCAGGTGCAGCGTGCTCAGGTGCAGCGTGCTCAGGTGCAGCGTGCTCAGGTGCAGCGTGCTCAGGTGCAGCGTGCTCAGGTGCAGCGTGCTCAGGTGCAGCGTGCTCAGGTGCAGCGTGCTCAGGTGCAGCGTGCTCAGGTGCAGCGTGCTCAGGTGCAGCGTGCTTTGGTTTGGCCACGTTTTGGGACGTCTCAAATCAGGCGAGGTGAAGATGCTTCAGACAAGACAGGTGAGTTCACTCTCAATTCAACTTAAGAAGGTTGACTTGGCAATCTCCCCGTTGCTCAGGTGAGGCGTGCTTTGGTCAGGTGTATGAAAAGGTGAGAGTGTGTGTGGGCAGGGGTCAAACTAACTTCTGGCAGGAGTGACAGAAGCAGGAGTGATAAGGGCGTGGTGTATTAGACACGAACTTCAAAGTGAGAACGGTTCTACACGGTATCATACCTTCCAAAAACTGTTCTTTACGGTGCAAAGCGGTACAGGGTCAATCTTTGCGCAAAAGCGCACTAAGGCACCGCGTCCTAAGAGCACACCTTCCGGCTGATAAGGGGGTGAGTGGGGGGGAGGTGGAGAAATTGGAGATTTGTTGTGTAAAGAACAGAACACAGAAGTGGGCCGTGAGCTGGGATGGGAGGCATGATGAGAGGCGTGTGGGGAGGCATGCTGGGAGGCTTGAGGGGAGGGGAGGGGGGGGATGGAGGGGTGCTGCTAGGGTAGAAAAGTATGGAGGTGAAAGGAAGAGAGGAGGAAGGGGAGGGGTGCGTGGAGAAGGGGAGGAGAGTGGAGGGAGAAGAGGAGCTGGGTAAGACTGGGAGAGAGGAGGAGGTCAATGGCTGTATGGGGGATGAGAGGGAGGAGGGAGAAGAGGAGTTCAAGAGGAGAGAGAGAGAGGGAGGAAAATGAGGAAGGTACACATACCAGGAATGGAGGTGTGACAGTTGAAGAAAGGAAAGCCGTAGCAGGGGACACTGTAGTGGGACGCTGTTGTGGGGCACTGCAGCAGGGGACTCTGTAGCAGGGGCACTGTAGCAGGGCACTGTAGCAGGGGCACTGTAGCTGGGGCACTGTAGCAAAAGGGGCAGTTACAAAAGATGTTGCATCAGGAAATGCTGTAGCAGGGAAGGAAGAGCATGTACATCCACCTGCCAGCCCAGCTGCTGCTGCCTCTCCTGCCCCTCCGCCTGTCTTCCCTGCTGTTGTTGACCCTGCCTCTGCTGCAGCTGCTGCTTCAGTGATCGCTGGTGCTTTCATTTTCACCTAGAAGCTCGTGGTGCAATCGACATGCCTTTGCTGGGGCACTTGAATCAGGATTGAAAAAGAGGAACGGGAGGAACGGGAACGGCTGGAAAAAGAGGGGAAAATGGATTGGTCTGGAGCTTCATAGGAAGGAGAGACTGGCTTGGAGTGGTCGAGCCCAAAGGTGGATGGTGGTGAGGATGGGAGTAGGGAGAGTCAGGGCACTGATGAAGCAAGGAAGCTCCATCTGTCTTAGAGCAAGGATCTACAACTATGCTCAGTACTACAGGAAGTTGGACACTGGGAATGTTTGCCTTGGAAACATTTGGTATAGTGTTTACATTCATCACTTGGTTGGTTTGGTAGGTCACTGTAGCACACTAGTAGTTTGGATTGGATTACTTGTGCATTTATTTCGATATTGTCGTATTGCATGGATGGTGGAAATCTTTTCAAGTGCTCGTGTAGAATTTCCAGCTTCATGGAATCGATTGTCTTTGACCTTCTGCATGATAATCATGCACCGCTTGCCAACAATGTATGTGCTGTTTATTAATTGATAACATTTTTGTTTTAGCTTTAGTAGTAGTTTATCGTAACTGACTGATTACCCCTCATTCACTTCTATCATTACACCTCGCAAAGCCGAAATACCTTACTGTACCCCACAAATGCACGCTCCATTTCCCAAACAGCTGCAGGCGAAACCGCGCACGCACCCATTTTCCCCCTCTGGCTGACACCGCCCATCCAAGCTGTCCTTGGGGCCATGAGGGACCTTGAGGGCGCTTCGCGTGTGGCATCCTGCGTGATCAAACTGTCCCGAGCCTATTTCTGGCGAAATGCGCGGCTCGCTCTGATTTCGGCTCAATCCCGAGGTAGGTTACGTGCGTTTCCAAACTCTGCATCTTGGTACTATTCGGTACACAACGGTAAGAGTCAATTCCGCAGCACAAAAATCCAACCCCGTGCCAGTGGCAAAATACACACTTACATATTGCGTTCAAGAAGACAAGTCGAACCACATTCAACCCACACACCCAGCGGGCAACACTGACAGCTTCACTCAACTTCTTGCTACTTGCTAGCGTCCAACATCGCAACAAGCGTTGATTCCAAACAACGCAATTAGTTAGCGCCGGTCAACCATGGCGTTTCCCACCAGCCTCTCCTTGGCCCTCGTGTTGCTCTGTCTTCTGCACGTGGCTCACGCTGCGAACATGCCAGCGGGCGGCTGCCACACGCGTTATGTGTGCCCCTACATAGACAACCTCGCCACCGCAACTATCACAGCGTCCACATATACCAGCTACAAGTACATCGGGAACTATCAGGGGCTCTTCAACGACCAGGGCGGGCAGTTCACGCCGCACCAGCGCGGCTCGGGCCCCGTGAATTTCGAGCGGTACACGGAGGTGGGGACCATCTTCGACATCGTCAAGGGCGTGTACGGCGACACGCTGCAGGAGTGCTGCCGCGCGTGCGCGCGCTCCACCTACTGCTACGAGTGGCACTGGTTCAAAAAGTGAGCGCGGCGGGCGAGCATGGGATTTTATGATGTGTGCTGATTTCGCTGAGTCGCTACGTTCTCTGCTTCATTCCAATCCCCCCTCAAGCTCGCGCAACACTAAGACTCATCTCCTTCTGCCCCTGTCTCCGTGCTCTCCCTTTCTCTCCCTGCTCCTCCGCAGCGCGCGCCTGGCGGGTGAGAACGCCAAGGTGGCGGGTTTCATCGACCGCGTGCAGTGCTACCTGCTGGAGAAGAACGGCGGCTCGGGCACGTCGGGGCCCTTCAAGACGCCCATGGCGGGCGACGCGGCCACGCAAGCGGCGAACGCGGCGAATTACCCGCTGAGCTTTGTGGGCGGGCTG